TTTTGTGAGGAGTTCATCACTTTTTTAGCTTGATGGGGAAGATTGTTCTGCTTAAATTAATCTCTCGAGCTAGTGACTGCGATTTTTTTCGGAGGAGGTACAGGGTTTTGGAGTTTTTGTGAGGAGTTCTTCACTTTTTCAGCCGGTTCTCCGGCTGCCCAGAGTTGTAACAGGTGGCAAGTGCATTAGCCGTCTGCATCCTCCACCGGAGATCGAACAGGACGCGGTCTCACAGTTACCTTCTTTAATTTTATGTTACTAAGAATTTTCGAACTCTACCCGGGCCATGAGTAATTTCTCAACTCATCTCTGGTATTTATTAATGCGACGGAGATATGCGATTTACTGGATCCGGATTTAATACATCCTGGATTCAGGAATGCGATAGAGACGCGGTCATTAATAAATGCGCTGATTCGATCTTGACTACGTCTCCATCGTATTCGAAATCCGGGATTTATCAGGTCTAATCCCAGAAAATCCTTATTTAAGTGTCGATATAAACCTTCAGGATTGAGTTTGCGTAATCATTAATGTTACGGAGACATGTGATTTACTGTATTCGGTCCCGACATATCCCGGATTAAGGAGTACGCTGGAGACGTTGTCCCTGAGTGTCTCTATCGACACTTAAATTCGGATATACTAGGATTAAACCCGATTAATTCCGAATATCGAGTACGATGGAAACGTGGTCCTTAATTTATGCACTGATTTGACCTCGAGCGTCTCGATCCACACTTAAGTTCGGATTTACTGAATCCGGATTTGATAAATCCGGATTGAGGAGTACGATGGAGATGTAGTCATTAATTCTTCTGATTAACAAAAGCTCCCCCTCTAGATTGGTTCTGTACTACGGAAAAGGTCGTTCGGCATTTTCTGTAAGAGATGTAGTTCTGGTTTCATTTAAATTCATCGGCACAACGGAAGGGTTTGGAAAATGCCTAATTGGGTCGGCCTCGTTAGGCTGCTTCGACGACGGCTAGTTTTGGGATTGATTTTTGCCGTTTCTCTGACATATTGCGCTTTTTCATTATTCCAACATGAGGTAATAACCTTATACTTCTATACTTAAATATTGGTTTGTGACATGTACGAGTTCTGGTTATGCGTGACTAAAATTAATTTGTTTACCACGCATAGAGGAAGGATGTGTTTCTGGACACCGACCTGGACGATAACGTCCTTATGAATGACGACGACGTCGTCGCAGCGGATGATGGCGACGAAGAGTCATTTCAGTCTTCGGGAAAGCCTTTTCTGTGGCAGATGCAAGCGTTAAACGCAGAAGAAAATATAGGCTCGATAGACGCGGGAAATCCTCCCAGTTCAAACGACTCGGATTCGTTCGTTCGCACATGTCGAAACTCCATTCAGGTACTTTTAAGGTCATATGAAAGTGGAGTCGCAGAGTCTTGCTTATGAGATTTTTTTATTAACTAGGTGCATTGAATCGTTTGAAGTGTTACTAACAATGGTTTATTTTTGTGAATTTGTATATAATCGTCTTTAATATTTTGTATGAAAAATTAACTCTTTAATTACGAAATCACTGTAGTGGCTTACGCCTGATCAATGTTTTTTTACGAAGCGCCACTATAGTGGTCCCCTTCGTTCCCATGTATTAAAAACGATAAATGAATGTCGTATTCATATAAAATTTGAGCATTCCCCGGCTGAGCTCTTTGTATAGGTGGTATATCTTTGTGTCTGACTCCGTGGTATGTTAAAGGGTTAAATTTCATGGGTGCTAGGACATACCATTGGACCTCCATATCCAAGTGGTACCGATGTACATTTCGTTTGTAGCAAAAATTTCGTAAACAAGGTCCCTCAGATGTCGCTTCCATATCAGTAAGGATAAATCAATACAAGTAAATACAAGTATTTACTCAATACTTTCTTTTCCATCCTTTTCTTTTATACCGAGTATGTATCAATACTTTTTCGATACTGAGTTTGTATTGATACTTTGGTGATATCTCTACATATCTCCTTAAATCAATTGGTGATGTTTCTTGATCCTAACCTGTAAACGATATGGATACCAATAGGGCAAGGCTTTAATCGTGGATGAACGTGGAATGGTTTGCGCGAGACAAGAAGTTCTACCATCTGGTTGCTGCAGCGATCAAAAGGAAACCATAGATCCTAACTCAGGCCTGCCAATTACTAGGGAAAGATACTCGTGTGAGACATGTAATGAACAAGGGTGCTGTGCAGTGTACGAGTATTGTGTTTCGTGCTGTTTACATCCTGGAAAGGTAGCTAAAACTACTATGTAGTATAAGGAAATACAACGTCGTGTATCAGTCTTCCTCATGTTAGGGGTCCATGATCTTCAGAGTTTTGTTGAGAGCTCTTCGGTGAAACTTTCCAATTCAAAATTGTCTGCTAGCTTTTATCACATTAAAAACATCCCATTCTCTATAATATGCGCAGATTATCGCTGCACATGGCGCACCTTACTTGCAAAATTAAAAGCACTTTAGGTTATTCACATCGATAGGAATTGTTTTCGTCATGTGGTATCAGAATTCCTGAATTTTCCGCAAGTAATGCTCGAATCGTTAGATCGGCAAGAATCTAAGATTACTGGGTCCACTTTCTATGGAACCAATTATAGGCGTTACGTCTCTTTATACTACTTCGTGGGTAATGCTTTGCTGGAAGGTGGTACTCGTTCATTTGTCAATCTCGTGAATTTTATAGGTGAAAGGGAGAAAGGAGTTTCTTCGGGAAGTGGATCAAGACCATAACAGGAACCAAAAGATACAAAGGATAGAGGACGCGGTTAAGCTGCGTTTACGGAATCTAGATCGTTTCCAGATTTGTCTTGCCGCGTGTCGCACGTCCAGCGCTTCGGTGCGACACGAAAATACGTACAAGGACCCTCACTCGAAGTATTGTTACGATCTACAGCCTCCAGGAAATCCGTATTATCACAGACGTTATCGTCGAGACCTGGATTCACTGAATAATAACGACGACACGCCTGGCATTGTCGTTACATCTTCTTCTGCCGTGCAATTATTTTCCCTCTACCTGCAACTTCCTGGAAAAAACTCTTCATCTGTGAATTATCCTTATCCCCGGAACAACACCTTGTCTTCGCGAATTCGTCCTGTATGCGTAGACTTCTCCGTAGACGACCGCTGCTCGTGAACACGTGTACCGATTTCTGTACATGTAATCAGTTTTGTGAGTGTGATCACTGTTGTGAGGTCGTACGTGTACAAAGAAGTAAATCGGTGGGTTGAAATTTTGGCAAAACCGCAGCTTGTGCTATCAGCCTGCGAAAGGGGAGTTGCATATTACCTTAATCTAGGGGTGTTGATAAGGGAAGTAAGAACCAAACTCTTCTTGTGTAACAAATGATTTTTCATAATATTTACCATACCGTTATAAAAATATCCTTTTGTAAAGAGGTGTGAATCTGACATGATTCAAGTTTCAGGTGCGTGGGTAACGAGTGCTTTTGGTACTATTCACTATTATAAAAATATCCTACCATAAGAAAACCTAAATTTGCAAAGCATTTTTTTAAGTTTAAGTTGTTCGAGTGACAAGTGTTTGTTATGATCATCATGGCACCATTTTAAAAATAACTTGTGAAGTGGCGTACCTCTGTGAAGTGTTCCTAATATAACTCACATGGGTAACAAGTGCTTTTTGTATTATTCAATACACTGTTATAAAAATATCCCGCCGTAAGAAGCCTATATTTGTGAAGTGCTTCAAGTTTAAGTTGTTTAAGTGATGTGTTTTTCTATGATCATCATTTCACCATTATAAAAATATCTTGTGAAGTGGCGTACCTCTGTGAAGCGTTCCTAGTTACCTCGCATGGGTAACAAGTGCTTTTTGTACTATTCACTACACTATTATAAACAGTATCCCTCCGTGAAGAAGCCTTCATTTGCGAAACGCTTCTTTAATTTGGAGTTTCTCGAGTGACAAGTGCTCTTTGTGATATTATTCCGCCTTAAAAGTATTCCATTTGTGAAGAACGTATCTCCGTGATGCGCTTCTTTAAGTTTGAATGGCGTAGATAAGAAATCCCTGTGACATTCATTTCACTTTTATAAGAATATCTCTCCGTGAAAAAAGATATCTACGAAGTGCTTCAAGTTTGGATCACACGTCATGACCCAGAAGTATTAAAATTTCATTATCAAAGCGGGGAATGCATTCCTTGTACGATATTAAAATATCCCGCCGTGAAATGTCATACAAAGTACTGCAAATTCGTATTATATATCACAAACCCAAAGTAGTCAAATTTCATCATTAAGGTGATATGAAAGGGTCATTCTATACATGTACAACGTCAAAATATGAAACTTTTCTCCAAACTGGGTGCACCGAATCATTTAGAACTTTGGCACGTGATTATACAGACCCTAAGGAAGAACGTGATGTTCGTAAAATTTCATTTTTCACACAAAAATGTGATCTTGGTCGTAGTCTAGGATAAATAAAGAAAAATCTCTTTTTTTGAAAAATGAAATTTCACTAGCATCGCGTTCATCCTTAGGACCTTCATGACCACGTGCTGAAGTTTCAAATGATTCGGTGCAACCAGTTTGGAGAAAAGTTTCATATTTTGACGTATATATATGTATGTATATATATGTTACAGTGAACACCGAAATCTGGAGAATGTCGACTTTCACCGGTGAATGTCAACATTCACATAGTCGCTTGGTGTATGTCCGAGATATTTGCTAAATACCCTTATTTCTGACTTACACCGGTAAATGTTGATATTCACCGGTGAAAGTCGACATTCTCCAATTTCGGTCATTCACGGTAACATATATATATATACACACGTTAAATTGTATTTTACGTTTAATTATATATACATATATATAGAATGATCCTTTCATCCTATGGAACCCTTTCGACATATGGCCGAAATTCATTAAGGCGTGCAGGCAATATTGGACCATATGCCGCCGGAGGTCTTTAGGTCCGTTTAGTAGCCAAAGGGTTAAAGCGAGGAACGTATTCCTCGAACAATGGTGGACTTCATTCGCCACACGTCGTCGTATTTAATTTCGGCTCCAGGAAATCGGCGACGCAGCACGCTGAGTATTTCGTCAGACACCACTTCTTGCACGGTTCCTTTGACCTGTAGTAAAGAAATGTAGCTCTTATTTCTTTTTTTCTTTATCTTTCAATCAACCTAATGTACCTGTGTACCTAATGACCTACCTCAATGTAGGAACACTCGGCAGCGGCGTAATGGCAGGAAATCGACCTTCTTGTTCTGGTGGTCCGATTTATTCCTGACGAGTGGATCAACAGAGGGTGGAAGAGAATCGTGTCGCCGGGTTGCATCTCGAGGTCCAGCCACAATATAGAGTTGGGTAGTTTCTGCAAAGCAAATTGATATAAATCTTGCGAAGGTGTCAGCAACAACATGGGGTCGGGTAGTTTCTGTAAAGCAAATCGATATGATGAACTCTGCAATGATGCCAAACACAATGTAGAGTCGGGTAGTTTCTGCAAAGCAAATTGATATAAATCTTGCGAAGGTGTCAGCAACAACAGGGGGTCGGGTAGTTTCTGTAAAGCAAATCGATATGATGAACTCTGCAATGATGCCAAACACAATGTAGAGTCGGGTAGTTTCTGCAAAGCAAATTGATATAAATCTTGCGAAGGTGTCAGCAACAACAGGGGGTCGGGTAGTTTCTGTAAAGCAAATCGATATGATAAACTCTGCAATGATGCCAAACACAATGTAGAGTCGGGTAGTTTCTGCAAAGCAAATTGATATAAATCTTGCGAAGGTGTCAGCAACAACAGGGGGTCGGGTAGTTTCTGTAAAGCAAATCGATATGATAAACTCTGCAATGATGCCAAACACAATGTAGAGTCGGGTAGTTTCTGCAAAGCAAATTGATATAAATCTTGCGAAGGTGTCAGCAACAACAGGGGGTCGGGTAGTTTCTGTAAAGCAAATCGATATGATAAACTCTGCAATGATGCCAAACACAATGTAGAGTCGGGTAGTTTCTGCAAAGCAAATTGATATAAATCTTGCGAAGGTGTCAGCAACAACAGGGGGTCGGGTAGTTTCTGTAAAGCAAATCGATATGATAAACTCTGCAATGATGCCAAACACAATGTAGAGTCGGGTAGTTTCTGCAAAGCAAATTGATATAAATCTTGCGAAGGTGTCAGCAACAACAGGGGGTCGGGTAGTTTCTGTAAAGCAAATCGATATGATAAACTCTGCAATGATGCCAAACACAATGTAGAGTCGGGTAGTTTCTGCAAAGCAAATTGATGGAAATTCTGCAAAGGTGCCAGCTATAACGTGGAGTCAGGTAGTTTCTGCAAAGGAAATTGTTATGATGAATTCTGCAATGACGCTGGCCGCAACATGCAGTCGGGTAGTTTCTGCTAAGCAAATTGATATGGTAAATTCTGCAAAGTTGCCAGCTACAACATGGAGTTGGATTTCTGCAAAGCAAATCGATATGATAACTTCTGAAATGATGCCAACCACAATGTAGAGTCGGGTAGTTTCTGCAAAGCGAATCGATATGATAACTTCTGAAATGATGCCAACCACAATGTAGAGTCGGGTAGTTTCTGCAAAGCGAATCGATATGATAACTTCTGAAATGATGCCAACCACAATGTAGAGTCGGGTAGTTTCTGCAAAGCGAATCGATATGATAACTTCTACAAAGATGCCAGTCATAACATAGAGACGGGTAGTTTCGGTAAAGCAAATTGATATGATAAAACCTGTAAAGATACAACACATTTCATTTTTTGTGTTTTGGCCAACATCATTGTCAGCTTTGTTAGAATACGTCGAGTGAGTGGAATACCTAAATTGAATTCACCTGAATTCCGTGGTAGAACTTGTTGACCGTATTCGGAGGATACTCGTGAGGGAGCAATGGAAAGGCGCGATGAGACCCTGGGGACACTTGGAGACAACCGTTTTCTTTCGTGGCAGGTTCGATGGCCGTCCAGGCCGCCACGATTCGATCCGCGGGCCGGAACGGGAAGTAGTAAAGATCCTGATGAGGTGGGTGCCTGAAATATGAGGTTTCTTCGTTTTACCTACACTTTCTACACATTTACGAAAAGTTTACACTTTTCGTAAGACTGCCAGGAGGATCCTTTTGTTCATAAACAACTATTATGCCTTTTTTAGTTCCATGAGATGCAGAAAGGGTTGAAATCGAAGACTATCAGGAGGATCCAGAGTCCATGTCGGGACTCTTTGCGACGTACATACTATGCACCGCCATTTTGTTCATAAATAACTATTATGCCTTTTTTAGTTCCGTGAGATGCGGAAAGGGTTGAAATCGAAGACTATGAGGAGGATCCAGAGTCCATGTCGGGACTCTTTGCGATGTACATGCTGTACACTATCATTTCGTTTATAAATAACTATTATGCCTTTTCTGGTTCCATGAGACGCGGAAAGGGTTAAAATCGAAGACTACCAAGAGGATCCAGAGCCCGGGACTCGTCGCGATGTACATGCTGTACACTATCATTTTGTTCATAAATAACTATTGTGCCCATCTGGTTCCATGAGATGCGGAAAGGGGTGAAATCGAAGACTACCAGGAGGATCCAGAGTCCGGGACTCTTCGTGATGTACATGTTGTACACTATAATTTTGTTCATAAATAACTATTATGCCTTTTCTGGTTCCATGAGACGCGGAAAGGGTTAAAATCGAAGACTACCAAGAGGATCCAGAGCCCGGGACTCGTCGCGATGTACATGCTGTACACTATCATTTTGTTCATAAATAACTATTACGCTCTTTCTGGTTCCATCAGACGCAGAAAGTATTAAAATCGAAGACTACCAGGAGGATCCAGAATCCGGGACTCTTCGCGATGTACATGCTGTACACTATCATTTCGTTCATAAACAACTATTACGCTCTTTCTGGTTCCATCAGACGCAGAAAGTGTTAAAATCTAAGACTACCAGGAGGATCCAGAGCCCGAGTCAGGAGGCTTCGCGATGTACATGCTGTGCATCGCCATTACATTCGGCCCCGTGAACGGCTCCACGGCGTCGAGCAGCTGGTCGAACTTAATATACTCCTTGAAGACGCCGTCGAAGTTCAGATCCTGGACCTTGACCACCACGGATCGGTCCTTCACGTCTCTCATGACTGTCATGTTCCCGTGGTCCACCTTGCCGCTCGCGATATCGTCGAATCTGAAACGTTAAGGTCAGGGAGCTATTCACTTGGAAGTCGGTAAAAAGGATTTCCTTCTTTCAGGATCGGATTGGCCCTTCGGTTTACCTTTGGCTGCATTTTTCGAGGAGATCTAGGGGCACCAGTCGGGGCAACAGAAGATATCCGTTGTCCTCGTAGAAGATACGCTGGGCCGTCGAAAAGCGACCGGTGTCTCTTGTCAGGCTGAGCTTTGACATCTCGCTCGTGGAATAGCTATTCTGTGAACATCAAGAAACCGAGAAATGACATGACGAGCAATGATCAGTCGAAAGAACCCGTTTGGCGGAAGTCATCGGATAGAAGTTCATGATCATCACGTGATGAGGGAAACCGATTTACAAAGAATTTGCAAATATGCGGCATCCTTCATATCGGACACGTAATTTACTGGGTTTCTGGAAGCTATTCTGTGAACGTCAAGACACCGACAAACTTCATGATGAGCAACGAAAAGTCAAAAGAAACGAGATTTGATGAAAATTTTGCATCGCTTTGTCTATCTGGGTCGATTCTCAGAGAAGGAAATCGCTTTCACTGCTCACTAATTAGCAACACCCTCATAACTCGTTTCATGATCTTTTATGCGGCAAATTTGATGCAAATTTTGCATTACTTCATCTTGGTCGGTTCTCAAAGAAGGAAATCGCTTTCATTTCCCAGATAGAAATTCATGATGAAATGTGTATTCACAAGTGACGTACAATAAGCAACACCTTCATGACGCGTTTCATGATTCTTATGCGGCAAATTTCATGCAAATTTTACGTCACTTTGTCTATCTGGGTCGGTTTTCAAAGAAGGAAATCGTTTTCACTGCTCAGATAGAAATTCATGATGAAATGCGTATTCACAAGTGAAGTTTAATAAGAAACACCCTCATGACTCGTTTCATGATCTTTTATGAGTCAAATTTGATGCAGGTTTTGCATCACTTCGTTTATCTGGGTCGGTTTTCAAAGAAGGAAATCGTTTTCACTGCTCTGATAGAAATTCATGATGAAATGTGTATTCACAAGATGCATAATAAGCAAAACTCTCATGACTCGTTTCATGATCTTTTATGAGTCAAATTTGATGCAGGTTTTGCATCACTTCGTTTATCTGGGTCGTTTTTCAAAGAAGGAAATCGTTTTCACTGATTTCCGAGCTAACAGCCCCAAAGGTCTATGCGCTGCGTCGTCGCGCCCTCGCGTCGCGTCTCCGCGTCCCCGCGTCGCGTCGAATCGTTGGGGGAAGCGAAGGGTGCGCGCGCCGCGCGTCGCCGCGCGCTGCGGCGCGGCGCGTCGGCGTGGTCCGCCCGTTGACATCAGCACGTGGCTTCAAAGGGGGACGTGCCGACGCTCTTCGGGGCAGCCGAGCAAACGTCGACTCGCAGGGTCGCGAGACCCTCGGCCGCGACTTTCGTCTCGCGTTCTCCGACGCCCCCGTCGCGACGCCCTCTACATTCGCGCTTCTCGAACCCGTGCGCGAATTAATAATTAACAGCCAAATAAGTGGTTTTCTGACATTTTCTCGTGACGGCTGTATATCAGGTAGATAAAGAAATAATTTTGCACTCAATTAGTCTTCTGAACGGTTGGAAGGTATTCTCTTTTATTTGATTAAATTAACTTTTATTTTAGTGTCAAATCTCTCCGTAGTGAGCGCTGATTCTGGAGTCCTTAAGGTGATATGAAAGGGTCATTCTATGTATATAAGACGTAAACATATGTATAAAACTTTTCTTCAAATGGGGTGCACCGAATCATTTGAAACTTCGTCACGAGATTATGGAGGCCCTAAGGAAGAACGCGATGCTCGTGAAATTTCATTTTTCGAACAAAAATATCTTTTTCGATTCTTGTCCGAAATAGATACAAATTTTTTTTTGTTTTTTTTTTTTCAGAATATGATATTTCACGAACAGCGCGTTCTTCCTTAGAGCCTCCATAATCACGCGTTAAAGTTTTACATAATTCGGTGCACCCAGTTTGGAGAAAAGTTTTATAAATATCTTGACTTTTTTTTTACGTACATATCACACTTTCATATCGCCTTAAGGTGTCTAGATACCCACGAAAAAGTTTCCAACGATTTGGCGCACACAGTTCTGAGAAAAGTTGTATAAACAATTAACCTCCAAAGAGAGCACTTCCCCATCACGTTTTATAAATATTTTGTATTTTTGGTATGTATATATCACACTTTCGTATCGCCTTAAGATGTCTAGATACCCACGGAAAAGTTTCCAACGATTTGGCGCACCCAGTTCGGAGAAAAGTTGTATAAACAATTAACCTCCAAAGAGAGTACTTTCCCGTCACGTTTTATAAATATTTTGTATTTTTGGTATGTATATATCACACTTTCATATCGCCTTAAGGTGTCTAGATACCCACGGAAAAGTTTCCAACGATTTGGCGCACCCAGTTCGGAGAAAAGTTGTATAAACAATTAACCTCCAAAGAGAGTACTTTCCCGTCACCTTAGAAACTAGAAGACGTAGAGAGGGAGGTTACACAGGGGTAAATTAATCGAAAGGGTGACATCGAGAGGTAAAAGCGCGCTTTCGCTTTCAAGGACTCTTCTTCGGCTCCTCGTCCGACGGCCAAGGACTCGTGAAAGTCGTTCCCGAAGTCGTCCTCGAGCGAGGGCGAAGCTTTCCCCTCTTCGAGTTCCTTCCCCCCCGGCGGGGAAAGTGGAAAATCGGGGAAAGACTCTCTTCTCGACGACGGGGTCGTATTTTATTAACACCCCTGAACTTTCACTTTCACCCTCGACGAGTCGGCCCGTTTTTACCGCGTTCTCCACTTCGGCCGGATTACTCGGTTAAGTGGATAAAGAGCGCGTTGAATTATAAAGGAGACGTGGAGGAGGAGATCCGGACTTCGAGACAGGAACCAGGAGGCCCTTGTACCCAGCCATGGCACTGTAACCGAGTAAGTCTTTTTTAGTATCCATATATCTGTGTTGGACTTCGGCCTACACCGTTAAGGTGAAGTGAAACACGTCGAGGAACTTGATCGACGTCGGTAAAGAAGATTTTTCTAAATACCTATGTTCCCAACGTTGGTTTTTATATTGACAGCTGGGTCGAATTATATTGGGTATTGTACCAAATGGCATACTCCACCTGTCGTTTTCGTACAGTAATTATAAAGAAATCTAAGTAAAACTCCAGAAATCCTCTGGATTCATACTTTCTGGGGCCCTAATTGACTGCAGAGGGACCCCCTGCGCCATCTGTGATTTCCAGGTCAATTATATTTTCACTCTGAGACCTCGCATTCCCATCGTTTTGGCATAGAAGCGCATAACACACTTTTTTTGCCTTTATCCCGTTCTAATGCGAGTTTATCGATTACCAGAGTGTTCTAAGTTGTCGTAAAATTGTCCTGACCCTTTCGTTTCTCATATCAGAGCCTTCGATAATCGTATATTGATCGAAATATGAGAGCTCGACGCCATTTTGGTTCTGGTCTGGGCGAAGTTAAACAATTTTTTTGAAAAATCCAAACTTTGAATGTGTCAGAACAATTCTTAGATGATCACGAGTCGTGTGTCGAAGTTTTGAACAGTTTGGGCCAATACCCTTAAAAAAAAGTGTTGTATTCGAATCGAGTGATTCGAGGGACCTTAAGGTGAAGTGAAACCTCCCTGTTTCCACATGTGCTATAAGACATTTATAACCTACGATTTTCTACGGTAAACTACTTGGTTTAATATATTTCTTAATATACGTCAGAAACCTCATACACACAAAGGTAATGAGCAACACATACATCAAAGGTTTTATGTAAATCATTGAAGACGTTAAAAAAAAATGAACGACTATGGAGTTAGTTAGTGGACTATAGGTTTTCGTAAATCCAGGTTGAGAATAGATCGTGAAACGTATATCCCGTTAATCGTTGGTTAACTCCGCGGTCAACCCTAATCCCAAGTTGGCTAATCTTGGGTTAAAACTCGAGTCAACGGACTAGGCCTTAGTAGTAGTGAAGAAGTTTGCAACATGTACATACATACTCCAATACAAGCGTCCACAGCTGGATAGCACAGTTGTCAGTGAACATTCGTATAGTAATCCATGCTGCAAACTTTTGCACTCTCCTCGCAGTAAAGCCTGGTATATACTTTCATCCTATCTCTAACCTAACCCTAACTTAATTGTTCACTACATGAAGTAGTATAAGGAGACAACACCTATTGTTCTAATATAAATAAAGAGTAATGGCAAGTGCAAAAGACGTACTCAGACATGCCCGGGACATTTGTCAAATTCTTTTGCCTGCAGAAAAAAGAAAGAAAAGAAAACGTTTAAAATTAAGTACCGTTAAACACAAATTTATAACATCGGTTATAAATTTACTACGCACATGTGCTACATTTATAACATATGTTATACATTGTATTTGGAAATAGGTTATAAAATGAGTGTTCCATGAATAAAACTTCGAGCAAGAGTGTTATAAACATTATATATTTCCTTTAACAATGTAGATATCTTCCGGACAACTTTAGCGGGAACTTATCTGTAGGTGAAAAAAATCAGGTATTAGGACGGAATATAACGGATTGCATTCTATCTTTATCTTACTCACAGTTCCTGCCTATGCGCGTCTCTCTTCCTCCCGTACGTAAAATACCGTTCACTAACACGTACGATTTCTTTTACTCCCACTCCTGGTTTGTTAGTCAAGATTTGGAACATCAAGCGCCGATCTAGGGTATGAGTTTCTATGGAAGATCTGAATTCTTTGCTCTGAACAATTTCTTTACGATTACTTAGGTGAGGTTAGAGTTAGGACGAAGGCGTATACCAGGCTTGCGTCGGGGGTGAATGATAATTGACGCGTCGTGTATTAATTACGTGGCCTTTAATTCCCACATGCCAAGCCATCGTACCTTAACGAGCTGTTGAATTGAAGGTGCACCGAACTCGCGGCCGCGTCCCGTCGCCAGGCAGGTAACCGATGCTCGATACGATTTCACGAGGCGCTGCATCGTGGCCGGTAGTGGCGCCATCTTTGAATTCTGGGAACGCGCAAGATGTGGCGTCAGACCTAAAATGCTTGTCATAACCGACGGGAAATACATTTAACCGGATCTTCACGGCGACAAGTGCACCTGGGCGGTCCCCGCTTCGTTCGTATTATCGGAGAACGTTGATATACTATAGAAATATACCACCACTGTTAGAAATTCGTCGATATCTCGAGCACGTTCGTACACTTTTATAACATCTTGCCCCTCGCTCGGGATCGAGGGGAGAAGGTAGGTTTGTTCGCGTTGTCTCCACTTTCTACACTCGAAGGTAATGAGGGTACTACACTTTTCTTGAAAGGTGCAGAAGGGTAGATAGACTTTCGTCGACGTCCCGAACGCCAGGAAGCTCAAGAAAGTACAAGATGGCGGATATAGCGGGACAGTATGCGATTTTGGAGCCGTTCGAATCGGATTATGATGAAAATGAAGATGTAACGCTTCCTTCGTAACATCTTCTAGCAAATGATGATGCACCTTCTGCACTTTCTACCCTCGAGGGTAACGAGGGTACTACACTTTCGTCGACGTTCCGAACGCCAGGAAGCTCAAGAAAGTACAAGATGGCGGATATAGCGGGATAGTGTGCGATTTTGGAGCCGTTCGAATCGGATGATGATGGAAATGAAGATGTAACGCTTCCTTCGTTACATCTTCTAGCAAATTATGATGCACCTTCTGCACTTTTTACCCTCGAGGGTAACGAGGGTACTACACTTTCGTCGACGTTCCGAACGCCAGGAAGCTCAAGAAAGTACAAGATGGCGGATATAGCGGGACAGTGTGCGATGTTGGAGCCATTCGAATCGGATGATGATGGAAATGAAGATGTAACGCTTCCTCCATTGCATCTTCTAGCAAATATTGACGATAGGGATAATATATGATGCAGGAATACATAATAATTGTAAATAAATAAACTGCAAATCAATGCATAATTTGGAATAAATAATTATCGTACAATTTTTCAAAGGTTACGTAGAAAATTAAATCGCTAAATCGTTCTATACACGAAGAAAATGTATTAATCATTATTTCTATTTATATTACGTTGAGATCTTGGGAAAAACTTTGTATTTTCCTGTTTGTTGGTCTTTTCAATTTTGAAATTTTCCGCCAAATTCACGACCTACACTTTTATAACATCTTGCCCTCGCTCGGGATCGAGGGTAGAAAGTGTAGAGAAAGTGTAGAGAAAGTGTACCCTCAGGGTAGATACCCTCGCAAAACGAACACCGACCTCTGCATCACTTTCGTCAAAACGAACGCCAAAGTGTACACTTTTCATCAAAGTGTAGAAAGTGTAGACAAAACGAACAAACCTAATGGGATTTTAAAGGCGGGGCGGAGAAACCGGGACCGTGGAGATCGATGTATCGAGCGGCGTTATGACATTTTTATCGGAAAAAAGGGGCAGCTCGTTAGAGTTGGGTGTATACGCAATCGATGTGCAAACGTTAGAGTTCGTTAATAATGAAGCCCAGCCTGAGGTCTTCGACCTCCTTCGCGCGATGACCGCTGCTTCTCGCGATTTTTTTCCTACGATTATACGAAAGTGCGATATATACATAACAAATAGTGAAAATATTGATAAAACTTTTCTCCAAACTGGGTGCACAGAATCGTTGAAAACTTCAGCATATCGTCATGGAGGATTTAAGAAAGAACGTGGTGCTCGTGAAATGTCATTTTTGATATAAAATTCTTTTATTTATCCCAGACCAGTACCAAGAATTTTTTCTTTAATGAAATTTCATGAGCACCACGTTCTTTCTTAGACCTTAGAAAAACAAATGGTTTCCCGAAGTACTTTGTTTTGAACGGGCGTTAAAAATCGCCAATCATTTTCGCATGAAGCATAGATAAAGCGATAACCATTTTTGATGACGTCGAGAGATATGATTGCTGTAGTAAGATAATGAATTTTATAAATACATAACGGCAAGAATAGATTATTTCAGATTAGACTACTCTCTTTAAAATCACTTAAACATTTACTTCGTTATCGTTTTATGAAAAACAATTATTTTTCTATCTTTTTTACGGAAGTGGTTCCGCGCCGCCACGTTTGAATTTCGCGCCCTCGGATATCGAATTTGATATTTTCTACCTTATGGTATTTACTTCGTTATCGATTTATGAAAAACAATTATTTTTCTATCTTTTTTACGGAAGTGGTTCCGCGCCGCCACGTTTGAATGTCACGCGCTCGGATATCGAACTTGATATTTTCTACCTTATGGTATTTACTTCGTTATATATTTATAGAAAACAATTATTTTTCTATCCTTTTTACGGCAGTGGTTCCGCGCCGCCACGTTTGAATTTCGCGCGCTCGAATATCCGACACCCGACAACGACCTTCAATGACGCAGCTCGTCGACGACGCAACTCGCGGACTTAAACCTCTCTAAAGACGAGATATTATCGAAACTCCGTTCCTTCTGGTCCCTTTTCACCACTCGTAGACGATCTACATGCACAACTCACCGTGTCTGGAAAGAAAACGGGATCGTTAGAGAGATCGATCGCAATCAAACGGACGTCCGTTTGCCATCAAGTGCAGTCGACATTGACCGATTCACTGCCGAGGGGAAACTGGCTTCGCGATAACGCCGCGGTCTCGGTGATAACGGCCCAAAGTTGTTTCGGGAAGCTCTGACCTCGGGAGATCGGCGTCCGGCGATTAAAGGCACCCTAAGTCGGCCGCTGCATCGCGAATTGGTAACTCTAAATGTTCCAAGATGGCGGCGCCTGGTGGCACGCGCGACGGCCGCTCGACTGGCCGGATTTAACTCGTAACGGCGACGAGAGGACTCGCCACTCGCTGCATATCAGCCTCAAAGCTCGTTTACATATATTTCCGCCATTCTCCGTGACGTGCACTCGATGCAGCCCGATGCAGGCGCAAGAAATGAGAACCGACTTGGCCAGACATTCCGGCTCCTCTTCTTGGGAAATGCGATGCCGACGAGCGAGACGCCGCGGCGCGGGTCCTTCTTCGCTTCTCAAGGCGGGTTCATCGAAACCAAACAGGATTCCGTAACAATTTATCCGTTATATAAGTCTTTGTAACGTAACACATATGCAGAACATGTTACTATTTTTTACGTGCGGATATAACACCGTTATAAAACGAATGACGCAAGATAACATGCACATGACGTATCGGTATCTTATGGGTTATGTTAATTTTATAGAACTTCTCAAGACGGGTTCATCAAAACCAAGCAGAATTTCGTAACAATTTATCCGTTATATAAATCTTTGTAACATGGAACGTAACACATATGCAGAACATGTTACTTATTTTCTACGCGAGGTTATAACACCGTTATAAAACGAATGACGCAAGATAACATGCACATGACGTATCGGTATTTTATGGGTTATGTTAATTTTATTAATTCACGTTACATAATAAATACACGTTATACAATTAATACACGTACTATAATTAGAAGTTCAGCAATATAATTTTCTTATCGTGTCATGTAAGCATGAATTATTTAACAGTTTTCAATGTTTAACAATGTAATATAACCTCGCAATAGCAAAAACTAACCTGTTCATCCTAGTAAATTTTCTCTCTTCTAACGAAAAAGTGTGTGAGGCATCACGTAATTCCCTTCTTCTTCTAATAAGGTTATTATTACGTCCCCGAATACGAATGTTGGCAAAAATCAAAACACCCAGGAGGTTTTCCATTTTGAATTTCGGTTTCACAATCCGGGGAAGATGGCGTCCACGGCGCTTATTTGTCTATCTTTTCTTGTATGCTTCACCATTTCGCTTAAAAATTTGTGCCGAGCCAGTTCATATGAATGGTCTCGCACTATCACCGCCAAAAACGCTCCGTAATACCGTGAACTACTCATTTTTCACATTTTCGCTCAATTTGCTTTACGTAATAGACCCCCTGGTGATAAAATACGAGCGGTTAGCAGTCCACGCATACCTATATAGTCAAAGGTTTTCTACGACTATCTGCGGTGAATTACATGGTTTACCTATTATGTGTAAACGTCGAAAAACTGGAAATTACTCAATCCTGTTGAAGAGTCAACGGTAATGTCCTCCTCTTCGTGTTCTTGCGTCGCCATTGAAGACGCGAACTCCCGGCCGCGAAGAGAAGGCGAAGCCGGTGGATGACCGTGAACACGGGGTGAAAAAATACACATGGGCGTCCTTACGGTTGACTTAGGGAAAAGTAGGACATGTCGAGGAATCGATATGTCAGTCCAGTTTCAATTCGGTACGGGATCAATACCGTTCAGGGATATAAACGGCGCTTCACCGTGGAAAAGAGCAGCCCAGGAAGACGGACGGTCAACAGAGGCGAAAGGACCTCTCACCTCTTAATCTTCCTTCTTAGGGAGACACGAAATTGCGGATCCACGAGTCGAACTTCTTTCAGGAACTTTTTCAATATAAAAAATCAATGGGGGTGTAGGAACATCGTTCCAATGCTTTTGAGAGAGGAGAGTCTCGTCACCGCCTCGCTCTTCGGGAACGTCGGTTCTTGAAGAGATAGATTAGTGGATGGTGACGTAGTGTTTGATAATGTTATGTTATTTGACAAGTTAGGGTCAGGGTCGAGGCGGATATCCGGAGGAAGTGTTCTGGGTGAGAATTCTTATCCTCGAATTCATCATCCCCCTTGGCAGGAACGTCGCTGTTGGGTTCTTGAAGGGATCGATAGATCAGTTGACGTAGTGTTTGACAAGTCAGGGTCAAGATCGAGTTGGAAATCTAAAGAAAGGATCTTGAGCGTGATTTCTTTTTCTTGATTCATCATCCCCCTCGACGGGAACGTCGCTGCTTGGTTCCTGAAGATATCGACAGATTGGTGGACGTTGACGTAATGTGCGACAAGTCAGGATCAAAATCGAGTCGAAAATCTAAAGAAAGGATCTTGAGCGTGATTTCTTCTTCTTGATTCATCATCCCCCTCAACGGGAACGTCGCTGCTTGGTTCTTGAAGGGATCGATAGATCAGTTGACGTAGTGTTTGACAAGTCAGGGTTAACATTGAGTTGGAAATCTAAAGAAAGGATCTTGAGCTAGATTTCTTCTTCTTGATTCATCATCCCCCTCGACAGGAACGTAGCTATTTGGTCTCTGAAGAGGTCACTCAGTGGACGTTAAAGTAAAAGTTGACAACTAAAGCAATAGCTGATAATTACAGTTAGAATCGGGATCGAGTCGCAAGTCAAGAAAAAGTACCTTTTCTCTTCTCCACTTCATCGTCTTCTCCTTCAGGATCATCTCGGTTTCTGAAGAGATAAACCAGTGTATGTTGAAAGTAGTAGTTCACAATTACAGTCAGGATCAGGATCGCGCCGCAAGTCAAGAAAAAGTATCTCCTCTTCTTCTCCAATTTGTCTTGAAAGTAGTAGTTTACAATTACAGTCAGGATCAGGATCGCGCCGCAAGTCAAGAAAAAGTATCTCCTCTTCTTCTCCAATTTGTCGTCTTCTTCTTTAGGAACGTCGCATCTCTGTTTCTGAAAAGACAAACCAGTGGATGTTGGAAGTAGTAGTTCACAATTATAGTCAGGGTCAGGATCGCGCCGCAAGTCAAGAAAAAGTATTTCTTCCTTTCCTTCAATTTATCGTCTTCTTCTTTAGGAACGTCGCATCTCTGTTCCTGAAGTGACAAACCAGGGGACGTTGGAAGTAATGGTTCACAATTACAGTCAGGATCAGGATTGCGCCGCAAGTCAAGAAAAACTATCTCTTCCTTTCCTTCAATTTATCGTCTTCTTCTTCAGGAACGCTCCTCAGTCCTTGGAAAGACTTACGAGTTAGTGGACGTTGAAGTAGTATCCAACAATTGTAGTCAGGGCGAGGATCAAGCTGCAGATGCAGAAAGCTGTCAATTGGACGCAACAGCGGTACATGATCTCCTCCGAGGATAAATCCTTCTCTTCTTCGACTTCATCTTCTTCAGGAGCGTCCTCGCTCGGTCTGCGTCCTGCAAATCCTGTGAAAGTTCGTCGGTCAGGATTAAATCCTCGTACGCCATTCCGATAAATCGATGATTTATGATTCTCTCTTTCTTTTGAAATTATCCTGTTCCACTTTTATATATGTATATATATATTTCATATCTACATATATATGTTAGTTATTCCTATTCACCTTCTCTATTATTCAATATCTTTTGTAATCCTTCTCGCTTGAGTTTGTACTGGTCGTATTTGTTTTTTGTACAGCTGTCCCTCGATTTACGCGAAATATCCATTCCACGTGGATTTGTTTCACGCGAATGATAATCGCATAAACAAAGGCTATCAGAACGAAAGAAAATAAAATAGTGAAAATAAAAGCTAGTGCATGCAAATTTCAGAAATACATATTTATTTCAAATAACTTAAGAAAGAAAATAATGATGCTTCAGAACCGTGTTAATTGTGTGATGGTTTACTCTTTTTAATAAAAAAGAGACTCGCGCAGAAAGAAAAAGCACCGAGTAAATTGAGGAAGGGGTGTACTTCCTCTGCTTTACCCGTATTATTAATAAATCTCAATCTCTCTCTCTTTCTCTCTCTTATAATCTAGGGTGCTGCTTATATATTTAGTACGGTCAATGAGATTCCCAGATTGGGAAAGTACTGAATTTTATATACCATTGAGGAGGTTTTCCATGGACCAGGGATGCTGTTGCTTTTTGGATTCTTCCTGGAAGGTCAGCCTTTTCTTCTCTCGATAAAGAGGCGGCAGAATCTGAAATGCAATTTAAATGGGGAATTTTTCTGAAAGGAGGGTCTTCAGGGTCTAGCACTCCTACACTGTTAAAACTATTTCATCTAAAGGTGGTACTCGCGTAGTCGAAGTTTCTTCAAAGTACAATATTTCAAAATTTCGTATACATTCGTTTTTGGAATTTTTCATTTGGTGTACAAGCGTATAAAGTTTAGAGGGCATGCACACTAAATTTGGAAATTTTTTATATATCGATTTTCAATTTCGAACGCATACTTAATTGAGAAATTTCGTAGGGTTTGTATTTGTAGTGTACACAATTGAGTACTTTAAGAAATTCGCGTTGTGGTATATTTATTAACACTTTTTATTGATTTTTTTTTTCAGAATTTTCAATTCTTCTGTACAAATCCTCACGTAGAAATGGCATTCTGTTTTAGTGCACATTCCAATTCGAAAGTTCGAAATTTTCACATATTTGTAACAGGATGTAAACTCACATTTTTGTATACTGAATATATCCTCAATTGTATGTATTTTGAGAAAAGCGCGTTGTAGTGTATTTATTAACATTTGTACCTACTTCTTTTTTCATTTTATCATTTTGTTCAAAATTTTGAATACTTTCAATCTAATTTTTGCGCAAAAATGGCGTTCTTCGTATAATATACATTTATCCAGTTTCCATTTCGAGTGTCGTTGTTCCCGGTTTTGGTAAATGTTAATATTTGGTAATATTCGAAATTTGGAAGCATTTTTAATAGGATATATACCGCAAACTCACATTTTTGTATACTGAATATATCCTCAATTGTATGTATTTTGAGAAATGCACGTTATAGTGTATTTATTAACGAGCACATCCTCAATTGTTAGTATTTTGAGAAAAGCGCGTTATAGGACATCTATTAACATTTCTACCGACTTCTGTTCTCATCTTACCGTTTTGTTCAAAATTTTGAATACTTTCGTTCTAATTTTTGCGCAAAAATGGCGTTCTTAGTATAATATACATTTATCCGATTTCCATTTCGAGTGCCATTGTTTCTGGTTTAAATGTTAATATTTTTTTTAAGTGTTGGACATTTAAAAGCATTTTTAACAGTGTACCAGGTCCTTGACGAGATCCTCCTCGGTGGACTTGTCAGCCATTTCCGGGCGCGGAAATTATTCCTCGGTTTTCGCCGGAATTGAGGAATTGAGGTTATGCTCCGCTCTACGACCGTTGGAAAACGAAAGCTGGACTCCTTTTGCGGATTCGCGTGCCGAAGGAAAACGGAGCGAAGAGGCGAGCGATAGCGATCGCCGGCGTAATATGAATTATTGAATTTCATAACTCCGACCCTGACACGCTTCTTCCGACCGGGTCGCGACCGGCGCGAAAAAAATCAAGTAACAAGTCGAGGAGGCCGCCGATCGCCGCCATTTTGGAACACGGAAGCGGCACAATTGCGCGCGGGAAATTTGAACATCGCGCAACATATTTCGAGAGTTCTAAATGCGATAAGTTATGTTAGAAACTATGAGAAATTCCCGGCAAACGAAGACACCTAAAGTATAAATAAAAAGATTAACATTCGCGTCACGCCGATCGCCGCCATTTTGGAACGCGGAAGCGGCACAATTGCGCGCGGGAAATTTAAACGTCGCGCAACATATTTCGAAGCGCACGTAAAAAACGGGATAAGTTAAACTGCGTACAATGTTGAGGGAACGTATAGGAGGAAAGTCGGAAATATAATCGAAAATTTCCGTGTTTCTTTTTAATCAATTTAATAAAGAAAAGTATATTTAAAAGATCGCAGAACATATTTCGAAGCGCATATAAAAAACAAGATAAGTAAAACTACATAAAATGTTAAGGAAACGTACAGGAGGAAAGTCGCAAATATAGTCGAAAATTTCTCTACGTATCTATTTAATCAATTTAATAAAAAAAATATCTTTGAAACATCGCACAACATATTTCGAAGTGCACGTAAAAAACGGGATAAGAAAAACTGTATAAAATGTTAATGGAACGTACAAGAAGGAAGTCGGAAATACAGTCGAATATCTTTTTATGTTTCTTTTTAATCGAGTATATTTCAAACATCGCGCAAGATATTTCTAAATGCACGTAAGAAATAGGAGAAGTAAAAGAACTTCGGAGGAAAGTTCACGGACGAGCTTAATTAATTTCTGCTCGGCCTGTTAATACTTTAGTGGAGTACTTGGAGGTTAAAGATGATTTATAGAGGGTGGAGGGGATCCTCGATAGAGAGGAAAAATGTCTCGGTCGGGAAAGGGCGTATTTATTTTTAGGAATTTTATTTGCCCCTTAGCGCAAATTGTAATTGGATGGTGTACTCCTAACAACGCACATTGAACGTACCGACTTTTCGAAAATGCGATGTTTCAAAGGGAAACACTCGAAAATATTCTTTTTCCACATTTTGTTACTTTTTACTCATTCACTATTTAGGTATCAAAGTAACGGTGGGATTGTTTATACCGTTAAAAACATTCGTAACATTCATACAATTTGGTTGTTTGTATTATTAAAAGTGTTTGCAAATCTCATAAAATTCGAATACATAATGTTGTACTAAAATCACAAATTCGACGCAACGATTTAAATTAACAAGCAAAGTTTGTGAATTTATGAACGAGGTTCGAATTTTTTTATGATTTAGCAGCGAATCATAAATTTAGGATGCAGATCCGAATAAAACATCCGACATCTTTTTCCGCTCCAATTTCTTATTTTTTTTTTTAACAATGCTAGGAGTANTTCTGAACTTGTCCTGACGTTTCCATCGTTTCGTTCAATTTTGAATTCGTTTCACGTCTCGAATCCTTGAGGATGAAATTTATACTAGATTTTGGAAATGTTGGAAGGTCCTTCTTGTCATTTCTTGAAGTTTCCTTTGTCCTGTTCAAGCTTAGATTTCTTTCAAGGCCTGAATCGTTGGAGTTGGAATATTCTACGGATTTAAAAAATTTATAACTGTCCTGTGCGTCGACTCCTGGCGTTTCCTTCGCCTTCTTCACGATTAAATTCGATTTAAGCTTCGAATCCTTAGAATCGAAATTATTGCCAGAAAACTTGGAGAGATCCTTCTGACCTATTTTTGATGTTTCGTTGGTTACAGAACTCAAACTCGTATTTTCCCTCGTCCTGTTCATCCTGCGACTCGTTCCCTCATCCAAATCCTTGTAAATAAATTTTGCATCAAATTTAGACAATTTTGATAGATCCTTTTACCTGATTCTTACCATTCTGTTGGCTACAGAACTCAAGCTTGTGTTTTCCATCGTCCTGTTCATCCTGCGACTCGTTCCCTCATCCAAATCCTTGTAAATAAATTTGACATCAGATTTAGACAATTTTGATAGATCCTTCTAGCCGATTCTTACCATTTTGTTAGTTACAGAACTCAAGCTTGTGTTTTCCATCGTCCTGTTCATCCTGCGACTCGTTCCTTCATCCAAATCCTTGAAATAAATTTGACATCAGATTTAGACAATTTTTATAGATCCTTCTAGCTGATTCTTACCATTGTGTTGGTTGCAGAACTCAAGCTGGTGTTTTTCCTCGTCCTGTACATCCTGCGACTCGTTCCCTCATCCAAATCCTTGTAAATAAATTTTGCATCAAATTTAGACAATTTTTATAGATCCTTCTAGCCGATTCTTACCGTTTTGTTGGCTGCAGAACTCAAGCTGGTGTTTGTCCTCGTCCTGTACATCCTGCGACTCGTTTCCTCTTCCAGATCCTTGTAAATAAATTTTATATCAGATTTGAGGAAATTTTGACAGATCTTTCTAACCGATTTCTACCGTTTTGTTGATTGCATCTCTCGTGGAATTTTGAGATGCACCGAGATGCACCGCCGTAAAAATAACACCCGCCATTAGATGCAGGAACACGATTGCTAACAATATTCTGAAGCACAACGGCTTCACCATTTCGCCAATTTTTCCTTCTTAGTCCTCGAAGTTCGATTCGAGTTTGAAATCCGCATCGATTCCCGTCGACAGTCAAATCAGCTGATTTCATTCTCCCGAGTTCACAGAGTACACTCTTAAAAATGTATCGTTTCATATTTGAATTCATCATAATTGCAAGACCAAAATAAAAACTCAAGTAAATATGATTAAAACGAGTATACAAGATCAACATCAAGATTCGAATGAACAAGATCGAAACTCAAGTATGCGGTGGTTTTGGTCTTGAGCTTTCATTTGCTCATCATTAAGAGGTAATAATTAGCAAAATCAGTTTTGATCCTGCAGTCTTGGGCTTGGTCTTCCCGTTTTGTACTTGATGTTGCAAAAAGTGCTCAATCAAGCCGAAGACCAAGATCTGACCATAATTGAACGATCAAGATCAAGACCAAGATTGAAGTATATAAGACCAAAACTACCACGGTCTTTACTTAAAGTATATAAGACCGAAACTATCACAGTCTTTACTTAAAGTATATAAGACCAAAACTACCACGGTATTTACTTTCAGTATATAGGACCAAAATTACCACGATTTTTACTTTCAGTATATAAGACCAAAACTACCACAGTCATTACTTTAAGTACATAAGACCAAAACTACCATGGTCTGTACTTTAAGTATATAAGACCAGAACTACCACGGTATTTACTTTAAGTATATAGGACCAAAATTACCACGATTTTTACTTTCAGTATATAAGACCAAAACTACCACAGTCTTTACTTAAAGTATATAAGAGCAAAACTACCTCAGTATTTACTTTAAGTATATAGAATCAAAATTACCACGATTTTTACTTTCAGTATATAAGACCAAAACTACCACAGTCTTTACATTAAATATATAAGACCAAAACTACCACGGTCTTTATTTTAAGTATATAAGACCAGAACTACCACGTCATTTACTGATCATTGGAACGGATTTACCCGGAAAAATGGAAGAAAAATGGAAGAAATTCGAGAAACGCTAGACAATGGTTACTTTACGAAGCGCCCTATTGGCAATTTCCAGTCGACCTCGATGTATTCTTTTATTTGGAGCACCGTAAACCTAGTCGTAGGTCAAGATCGAAACTTCTCGCATTTCCATGGGACATCCTTTCCTCGAATCCCGGAGACTTGTACCTCGTTATGGATTTATCCAAAGTGCGTCTTCTCCGCGAGATCGAGCTCGATCGGTCGCGATATGTTATCAGCTATTTGCATCGAGGATATTGGAATTGGCATTCGAGGGTACAGAGAGTGTACTCACGTGGATAAATCGCTTCCCTGTTGACTCGGTGGAATGATAAGGGGCGATACGAGGCATCAGAAATGGAGAGCCTTTTGCATTATCTATCGCGATACCGCTCACATATTTAGACACTCGAGGAAATTTCAAAATTTTGCGAAGGAAATTACTTCGCGATACCGCTCACATATTTAGACACTCGAGGAAATTTCAAAATTTTGCGAAGGAAATTACTTCGCGATACCGCTCACATATTTAGACACTCGAGGAAATTTCAAAATTTTACGAAGGAAATTACTACACCACTTCACTTAAGGCGATATGAAAGGGCTTTATATATTCTATATATATATAAAAAGACCCTTTCATATCACCTTAATAAGCGACTCTGATAAATATCAATCGATATTTCGAAAACTTTTGAATACAAACGTGTACCGAAATCAGCGGTACTCGAAATGGAAACGGACCTAAAAATATAAAGAACATATACGTGCGATTTCTTTTTTTTTTTCACTATTTACACGAGAAGAAAATCGCACGAACTTGTTATCCAACAGAATATCTACAATCTGATAGCGGCTTTTAAGACAATACAATGATTAATAATGCAAGGTAATTCAAGATCATTGTATTCATCTCAACAGACGCTATCAGATGGTAGATATGGAAATATAGCATTCCATTTACAAAATCGATGCTGATCTTTAGATTTCCGAATCAGCTGCGTCAACAAACATATGAAGGAAATATTTCTTTGGGACCATTCAAAGTAACATTTTTTTGGTACCGTTCGAAGTAGCATTTCTTTGGTAGCATTCGAAGTAGCATCTCTTTGGTACCATTCAAAGAAACGTATCTTTGGTACCATTCAAAGAAACATTTTTATGGTACCGTTCAGAGTAATATTTCTTTGGTACCATTCAGAGTAACATTTCTTCGGTACCATTCAAGGAAACATATCTTTGGTACCATTCAAAGAAACGTTTCCTTGGCGCCATTCAAAGAAACGTTTCTTTGGCTCCATTCACAGTAGCATTTCTTTAGTACGATTCAAAGTAACATTTCCCCGGCACCATTCGAAGAAACATTTCTTTGGCACAGTGAATTCTTTTTCTCAGGGTAGAGAGACATTTTTTTCGCTCGTTACATTAAGGGGGCCGGAAAATAATGTCATTTCCTTACATTAAATTCAATGCGCAGAAACGACATTACTTTCCGGTCCCCTTAATATAACGAGCGAAAAAAATGTCTCTCTACCCTGAGGAAAATGAATTCACTGTGCCAAAGAAATGTTTCTTCGAATGGTGCCAGGGAAATGTTACTTTGAATCGTAATAAAGAAATGCTACTGTGAATGGTGCCAAAGAAACGTTTCTTTGAATGGCGCCAAGGAAATGTTTCTTTGAATGTTACCAAAGATATATTTTCACGAATGGTACCAAAGCAATGTTACTCTGAATGGTACCAAAGGAATATTACTTTGAACGGTACCATAAAAATGTTTCTTTGAATGGTACCAAGGAAATGTTACTTCGGACGATACCAAAGAAATGTTTCTTCGAATGGTGCCAAAGAAATGTTCCTTCGAATCGTACCAATGAAATGCTACTTTGAATGGCACCAAAGAAATTAATAAATATATACAAGATCTTTTTAGGATCTTTTTATCAAGTTGGCTAAAAAGAGAGACTTGGCGACTTTCCGACCTTTGGGATCGCAAAGTGCATCCCAGTAACGAGTTTTCCCGCGAATTAGCGACCTCCGGCCTCGAAGAAACGAGGCTCGGAACGCGTTATAGCGATTCGATATCCGTCTCGATCGATGACTCGATGAGACACGCAGTTCTGTTATAGGAGAAAGGACTGAATAAGTTATCCTGGCATTTGGACTCGCCTCTTCTATTTTGGGAGGACCGCCGAGGCAACAGGATATCGTTTATTCCGGGACCACCCTTCGCTCCTTGAACCCTGAATCGCTCCTTAAGGGGACGTCGAAAGTGTCGAGAAACTTAATTGACGTCGGTAGAAACGATTCTTCGATGTACCGTCTGAGACAGTTACTGTTACATGTACATCGACAGTATTGTACGGAATGGCGTACCCGACATGTCGTTTCAATAGAATAATTGTACAGAGATCGAGGTAAAACTCAATACATCCTCGACCCTAGTAGCATAGAACAATTTCTAAATATTTCTTTGTAAACTTTGCTAAATATCTCAAGCAACAAATTTTTTAAGATTTCTTGTAGATTTAATTCGAAGATATTTGAAATATTTGTTGAAAATCCCAATGATATGNTAGATATAATATTCTAAAGTAAACGTTTTGCAAATGTTTCAAATGTCTGGTAAATATTTACAAAATGTACGATTTTCGTTAAATATATAGAAAATATAGGACAAATATTTTGTGCTACTAGGGGAGAAACTTAATTGACGTCGGTATAAATGATTCTTCTATCCGATGTATCATCTGAAACAGTCATTGTTACATTTATATCGGCAATTGTGTCGTACTACGTTAGTATTGTACGGAATGGCGTACTCTACATGTCGTTTTAATGGAATAATTGTAAATAGATCGAAGTAAAACTCAATATATCGTCGAGAAACTTAATTGACGTCAGTAAAAAAGATTCTTCTATCCGTTTATCATCTGAGACAATCACCATTATATTTATATCGACAACTGTGTCGTACTACATATGCCGTTTCAGTAGGCTAATTGTTTTTAATTCTGTTATAAACAATTATAAACCATTTAGTTGTTCGAGACATTTGTTAATAAAAACGCCTCCAAAAGGGTAAAAAAAAGGGACTGCTTTCCTCCCTTGGGAGGTATAATGTGACGTAGCACGTAATAGGCAAGAAAAAGAAAAAGAGTGATCAATTCGTGGAACGTATTTTGCGAATTTAATGTCGATCAACTTCTTAATTTATGAATTAATTAATCGAGACCATCGCTCCTCTCCATCTCCGGGGGTCATATCTGTCCTTATTTCGTGCGATTAATCTTCACTTTCGTCCTGGTTCCCTGGACTGCATCTTCGCGAATGTTGGCAAGTACGATAGATTAAGAAGCATCGCCCTCCGTCCTCTCCGGAGGAGAACTGCTCCACTTTTAGTTGGCCATCTCTAGGTAAGCTAATTTCGATTCCAGCCTCCATTACTTCGGAGCTTCTCCTTTGGTCCTCTTCACGGAGTTCTTCGTCGATCTCCGCTTTCTGAGAAAGCGATCCAATTGTTATGGATGCATGAATAATCTGGGAAATCTGGGAAACGTTACGATCTTAATTGCGAACGGTTTTGCGAACCGATCTTCCGTATTCCTGGCATTGCTTGCATTTCTCAAATTCCCCAAATTATACAAGTTCCTGCGATCCTTTTGTTTCTCAAATTTCCAGCATTTTTGTATTTGTGGTATGGTTTGTATTCCTTATATTTCTTGCTTTTTTTGTATTCCTGGCATTGTTTTAATTTCTCAAATTCCTGCGATCCTTGAATTTCTCAAATTTCCAGCATTTTTGTATTTCTGGTATTCTTTGTAATCCTTAAATTTCTTGCATTTTTTGTATTCCTGGCATTGTTGTAATTTCTCAAATTCCCCAAATTATACAAGTTCCTGCGATCCTTGAATTTCTCAAATTTCCAGCATTTTTGTATTTCTGGTATTCTTTGTAATCCTTAAATTTCTTGAATTTTTTGTATTCCTGGCATTGTTGTAATTTCTCAAATTCCCCGAATTATACAAATTCCTGCGATCCTTTTGTTTCTCAAATTTCCAGCATTTTTGTATTTCTGGTATTGTTTGTAATCCTTAAATTTCTTGCATTTTTTGTATTCCTGGCATTGTTTTAATTTCTCAAATTCCCCGAATTATACAAATTCCTGCGATCCTTGTATTTCTCGAATTTCTCTCACTGCTTGCATTCCTTTGCATTTCCCAATTATTGTTTGCATTTCCCAAATTCTTCCAATTATATAAACTTTTGCGTTCCTTCTATTTCTCAAAATTTCTCGCACTTCTCATATTCCTGGTATTGTTTGAATTTCTTAAATTCCTCACATTCCTTGTATTGTTTGAATTTTTTAAATTCCTCACATTCCTGGTATTGTTTGAATTTCTTAAATTCCTCACATTCCTTGTATTGTTTGAATTTCCTAAATTCCTCACATCCCTGACATTTATTCAGTTCCTCGCATTTCTCAAATTCGTTGTATTCCCTACTTTCGTCGCATTCCTTTCCACTCGGCCCCTTAGACGAGAAAACTGGAGCAACAAACGAAGAAGTTGCTTTCCAATCTCGCTCGACGAAACTCTCGATACCGCCTTATCTACGACTCCTTCAATGTCCTCTTCCCGAAGAATTCCAAAACAAATCTCGCTCGTTTATGGCCCTTGAATTCCTCCACATCCGTCGGCTGGATGCAACGGGGACGCGAAACAATATTTGCAGAGAGAGAGGGGTCTGGCATGGCGCCTTCTTCAGGGTTCTCTTCGGATTCTTCTTCAGGGTGCCGATTCGGTCTTCGAGACGGCCTCGACATTTCCTATCGACGGCTCTACCGTTTTCTACTTAACACATTCGCGACCGGGATATTTTTTCCGTTTCAAATACTGAGTACTGGCGAAAATAATTAAATTCTGAAATTGGTTGCCGCAAACTTGTATCGTGTATCGTTATGGACGTGATTCACGTCAGCGGCAGTCAGGAATAGAATTTAAAATAACGTGAATTCACGTCAGCGGCAATCAGGAATAGAATTTAAAATGACGTGAATTCACGTCAGCGGCAGTCAGGAATAGAATTTAAAATGACGTGAATTCACATCAGCGGCAACCAGGAATAGAACTTGAGAAGACGTGAATTCACGTCAGCGGTCGCGAATCTGTTAAAGTGAAGTGAAACCCCCTCAAATCAATCGACTCGAATAAGACACTTTTTTAAGGGTTTTTTTAAGGGTATTGGATACAATTGTCTGAAACTTTGACACATGACTCGTTAGCACCTAGGAATTATCCTGTCACTATCAAAATTTCGCCCTCGATATTTATTATCGACGGCTCTATCGTTCTCTTCTTAAAGTGATGTGAAACCTTCCTCAAATCAGTCGACTCGACCAAGACACTTTTTTCTTAAGAGTTTTTTAAGGGTACCCTAGTAGCATAATACATTTCAAATATATTTTCTATATATTTAACGAATATCGTACATTTTGTAAATATTTACCAGACATTTGAAATATTTGCAAAATATTTACTTAAGAATATTATTTTCATAATATTTGTATAATATTAGCTCCCTGTGATTCATAATATCTTTCTTACAGATGTACAATACATTTCGTTTCATTTTAATATAAGTATTATTTTAAATATTATCTGCCCAATACATTATAAACGTTTTAAAAAATATTTAAAATCGAAATCACACGTTTTGCTCCTATAATGAAATAGCGGAACGAAAACATTGCAAAATCCTAAAGTAAATAATGTATTTTTATTATATTTAACAAATTAAGAATATAATTTCGATAAATGCTTCTAAATAATTGAAACTAAATATGTCACTGAGATTTTCAACAAATATTTCAAATATCTTCGAATGAAATGTAGAAAAAATCTTAAAAAATCTGTCGCTTGAGATATTTAGCAAAGATTACAATGAAATATTTATAAATTACTCTCTGCTACTGGGGGATTGGATGGAACCGTCTGAAATACACCTTAAATGCCCGAATCACGTCTTTTCGACGATAAAAGTGGTGGATGAGAAATTAAGTGAAATGGGAAAAAGGAGCGAAGAAAATGGCGGCTCGAGGCGGTCGCGCGCCTTTCAAGTAACTCCCGGCGGAGGTATCGATATTCCTCGTTATCGGTTTACTTCTTCATTTATTCTCCGATGTATCGATACCTCCTGCGGTCCTGGAGGCGTCGATATCGACTCTTCTTGTCGCGAGGGTCGACTGGCGCCGAAACTCCTCCCTTATCACAATTAATAAGCTGCGATTGCATCGCTCTGGGATGACTTTCGACGTTTCCCGGACGCACAGCCGTCGCGATGGCTTCGGCCTCCCAACATATTAATTATGCTTCCACATGTTGGGGACCGTGCGATGGTAACTCGATTACCGGTGCCCTTGCCGGTTCCATTATCGACCATTAGCGAGCCTCGACATCCCCGCGGAGACAATGATACGAGATACGCGTTCGTATGACTCGATACGTGCATTTAGAGCACCGTTCGCAAATTCTGGGACGATGTGTTCTAATTCTTAAGGGGACGTCCAAAATGTTTTCTTTATAATACTTTTCTACCAACTCGGTTTATAGAATAGTTTGAAACGTTACAACGTGAATGGGGAGACTATAAGGAAGGTCCTGAAACTCATGGAATTTCAATTCTTTTCAAATTTCTTTATAGGTATTTTAAAAATAGTTTATAGAAAATGAAATATCGCGAGTTTCAGGACCTACCTTAGGGTCTCCATTTTCACGTTTAAAGTATGAAACGATTTGTGACACTCAGTTCGGCGAAAAGTTTTATGAACAATTGAGTTTTCGGATGCCAAAAGTTTTATGAACAATTGAGCTTTCTCCCAACTCGGTTTATCGAATAGTTTGAAACGTTACAACGTGAATGGGGAGATTATAAGAAAGGTCCTGAAACTCATGGAATTTCAATTCTTTTCAAATTTGTTTATAGGTATTTTAAAAATAGTTTAGAAAAAATTTAATTTCGCAAGTTTCAGGACCTACCTTAGGGTCCCCAGATTCACGTTTTAAAGTATGAAACGATTTGTGACACCTAGTTCGTGGAAGAGTTTTATGAACAATTGAGCTTTCTCCCAACTCGGTTTATTGTATAGTTTGAAACGTTACAACGTGAATGGGGAGACTATAAGGAAGGTCCTGAAACTCATGGAATTTCATTTCTTTTCAAATTTGTTTATAGGTATTTTAAAAATAGTTTACAGAAAATGAAATATCGCGAGTTTCAGGACCTACCTTAGGGTCTCCATTTTCACGTTTTAAAGTATGAAACGATTTAAAGTATGAAACACTTCAGTTCGCTATAATTTCCAACGTCGACTGTAAAAGACTTCAACGTAAATATAAATGTCGGTACGGGACGCGCCAACTTATGTTACCACTTCAGTATTCAAAATGACGTTCCCACCAAAAAGGGGATAGATGAATTTTAATTTTTCCACCTCAATAAAATTTCTCAGCGCCTTTCGTATCATCTTAACTATTAGATAATAAATATATCAGACGTATGAGTAAGTGGTAAAAAGTGTTGTTACCATCTTGCGCAGTCGGAAAGTACTGTCACAAAATATATGAGTCCGTATCGATGGACCCAATTTTATTCACGGGAGGTAAATGGCGTCGTAAAACCCGAGGTTACGACGCATCTAAATTAAAATGGAGAACGCGTTCGAGGATGCGAAAGAGGCAGAGGGATAAGGGCTGATATGCTGATATGAGAAGTATTGGGAGCGACCCGGGAGAAAGGCGCCGACCCCACGGAACGATGAAAGACCGGAACCAAGGGGCGTCATTCGGAGAACGGGGGTGAAAGAGAATTTGCTGCTAACTCGAGCCACCCTTTAAGTCAGATTTCATATTTAGGCTTCTCTCTATTTTCTCGATTTTCTTTCCCTCTATTTTTTCCATTCCTCAGTATTATTGATATTTTTACTCCATTTCTTTTCCCTCCGCTTTTCTTTGTTACGTCCATTTATCTCATAACTCGAGTCACCCTTTAAGTCGGATTTCATATTTAGGCTTCTTTCTATTTTCTCCGTTCCTCTGTATTATTGCTATCGTTCCCTGTATTCTTCAATTCTTCAGTTTCATTTTACTCTCCATATTTCCCAATATCTCTATACTCTCTATTTTTCTCCGTTTCTCATAATTCTCTATTTTTCCTCCGTTTCCCTTTATATCCTCTATTTCTTCTTCGTTCCTCTTTGTTTTCGCTATTTCCCTTCCGTTTCTCTCCATTGTCTCGATTTTTTTCATAAGCCTTTATTTCTTCCATTTCTCTCCATTGTCTCAATCGTCCTCCATATTCCTTTATTCTCTCTATTCTGATTACGTTTCTCTTGATTCACTCTATTCTTCTGTTCGTAGGTAACGAGAATGTCTTCGCAGACGAGGAGGAGAGACCTCGAAGAGGGCGGGTGGGTCTCCTAGGTGGAAGGATGCCGAAGACTCGGAGGTCAGGAGCTGATCGGGCTCTTCAGGGGGTGGATCTTCATGAACAGCGGCCGATGGGAGGGCAATAAGCGAAGGGGGACCGAGGCCCTCCAAGGAGGAATGGGCCCTTGGGCCTTTGGCGTTCCTCTCATCCTGGTTTCTGCCGTGGGCCTCGTGCTGAACGCCTACGTCCTCATCGTGGTGGGCCTCAGCAAGCCGGTGAGTCGTCTTCCAGAACCCCGAAGAGATCGTCTCGTCTTCCTTTTTAACCCTTATCACTCCAACCGGCAGTAACACTGCCAACTTCTAATATTCTTCCAATATTCTTGGAGTGATAAGGGTTAAATTGGTGGACCTGAACAGGGTCCCAGGTGGTCCGATCCAAACACTCATTGGGACCTTTTTCTTACCGTATTTTAATAACCGTTCATTAAGGTGATATGAAAATCCCGTTTGGATCTAGCGAATCGCTTGAATGTGTCAGGACAATTCTTAGATGATCAGGAGTGATGTGTCAAAGTTTCGGACAGTTTGGTCTAATACCCTTAAAAAAAAGTGTTGTATTCGAATCGACTGATTTGAAGGGGGTTTCACTTCACCTTAAGTTCGGCACATCGCGTGATTCCTGTTCCTTACTTTCGCAAGAACGAACAAACAGCGCGTAGTAAGGGTTAGAAAGATGACGCCGATGAACTCGTAGACCCAGCAGCAGCAGACGACGAACACGCTGTTGCTGATCCACCTGGGAGCCGTGGAGGCCGCGGTCTGCTTCGTGGTGCTGGTCTTCGCGACCGGAGGCTGGCCATCGGCCGGAACTTCCTGCGCCCTCCACGGGTTCCTCCTGGCGCTGCTGCACCCCGTCGCCCTCTGGACGGTCACCGGCCTCAACTGCGACAGGCAGGTGGATCCTCCCCTGGGATGCAAATCTCGAGTCCATGCGATGAACCTCTTCGGTCGGTCTCTTCAGGTACTACGCCATCGCGGAGCCCCTGCGATACTCGGCGCTGGTGTCGCCTCGAAGAGTGGTCCTGGGTCTGGTGGCCTCCTGGACGGGCGCCCTGGTCCTCTGCGTCCCGCCGTTCTCCGGGCTGGTCCCGCCCTACAGGTAACGATATACAAATTTACAGCGAACCTACAAGATGGTTTACCTCGTCCATTTTGTGGAATCGATACCATAGGGTGCAGTTTATAGGAGTGTAAATGTAGAAGGGTTGGACTATCGAATTTTCCCTTTTTTGCGCTATTCTTAGGTACAACCCTGGATTGGGCTGCTGCTTGCCCGACTTCGGGAGCGCCTCTTGGTACGGCGCCCTCTATGCCGCCCTCGGCCTCGTCCTCCCCGCCCTCCTCGTCACCGCCTGCAACCTCAGGGTCCTCGGCATCGCCCGATACCACCGACATCGCATCGCCAGCGCCATCTACGAGGTCACTCTTAGCGCCCAAGTTACAATCACTCATCAGCGAAATCCCTTCAGCTTCGTCCCCACTGTCACGTCCCCCGCTGCGGGGGGGCCGCCGCGGTTTCACAGCGCTGCCAGCACGGTACGTTTTCAAAGTCTATGAGAATCGTTTCCCGAAAGAAGGAATTAAGGTGAAGTGAAACCCCCCCTCAAATCACTCGACTGGAATAAGACACTTTTTTTGAGGGTATGTCTGAAACTTTGACACGTGACTTTTTCGAAGTCTACGATAATCGTTTCGGGATTAAGGTGAAGTGAAACCCCTCTCAAATCACTCGATTCAAATAAAATACTTTTTTTTAAGGGGATTAGACCGAATTATCCGAAACTTTGACATATGACTTTTTCCAAATTTACGAGAATCGTTTCGAAGGAATTAAGGTGAAGTGAAACCCCCCCTCAAATCACTCGACTGGAATAAGACACTTTTTTTAAGATCGTTGGACCAAACTGTCCGAACTTTGACAAGTGACTCACGAGCTCTTAAGAATTGTCCTAACACTTTGAACATTTCGACGTTTGAAAACAAATTTTTAAATTTTGATTACAATATTTTTAATCTTTTAATTATTTGTCTATAGGTACTTAAAAAATATTGTATAAAGAATGAGATTTCACGAGTGTCAGGACCTTCTTTACAGACTCCATATTCACGTTGTAAAGCATGAAACGATTCGGTACACCCAGTTCAGCAAAAAGTTTCATAAACGGTCGGCCCCTCAGAAGCCACTTTCACATCCTCTTAACCCTTAACTGTCGTGAGTCCTTCTTACGTGACAAAAGTACTTTCTTGCTGCAGTCATATGGCACGTGTAAGTTGACAAGACGGACTACAACCCAGCAACTCCAACCTAAGGAGAATCATGTATAAAAAGTTAGCGTTCGATAAGGGTTAATTCTGTCGCCAGGTGATGCAGCTGGTGGGTTCCCTGTACCTTTTGTACTTCCCGTACTGCGGGCTCATCATATGGGAGTCCTGTGGGGTTGGAAGTCATCATCGTCTCTCTTCACATCCGAGACTCGCTGGAGCTGCTTCTCTTCTCTTGGCGTGTTCTCCACCCTTGAACGGCCTCCTCTACGGACTCAAGTCCCGGACCCTGAGGAGGTCGGTAAAGAACTACTGGAGGAAGAAGGCCACCAAGTCGGAGCTGCAACAGGTGCGCCTCTCGTAAATCTGGCAGGAGCTGCTAGGGATTATTCGGAAAGGTGGTGCCAAAGGATAAAGGTCTATACAGCAATCTTAACCCCTTGACATACAATGATGTCCGGGAGACGTCATTCGTTTCAGGTGCCGTTGCAGACTTTGACGTCTCCAAGACGTCAAGAACTGTCTCCGACCAAATCAAATAGTATTTTTCGGACGCACCAAATTCCGTTTTATTTACATGTCAAGGGGTTAAGGTGATGTGAAAGTGTGATATATACATGCCAAAAAGTGAAAATATTGATAAAACTTTTATCCAAACTGGGTGCACCGAATTATCTAAAACTTTAACACGTCATTATAGAGGCTCTAAGGAAGAACGCGCTGCCCGTGAAATTTCATTTTTTGCAAAAAAAAAAATTACTTTCTTTGGTTCACTATATTTTTTTTTCTCAGGGTAGAAACTAATTAGGTAACTAATTTGAGTACTAAGATAACTAATTTGGGCCTTTAGAAATCCCTGAAATGATTTCCACGCAGGCGGGATCCGCGAGGACCCCGAGCGAAGACGAGAAAAGGACGGGTACTTTGAAGAGAATCGGTTTTCAGGAGATCCAGGCCAGGACGCCAAGTGTGGCGGGCTCCAGGAGGCCCTCGGGAAGCGGGCCCACGTCCTTGTTCCCGTTCCCCCCGCTCCAGAGGAGGCTCAGCGAGGCCCTGCTGGTCCTCGGGTCCTGCAGGTCGGGTACTTTTGAGAGTGGCTCCATCGGAAACGCCTTCCAGCGCACTAGGCTGCAGCCAGCTGCCTCCTGCAACACCCTCAGGGTCCCAGCTCCTGAATCGGGTGAGCCACTTTTTGCACCGATGAGTTCTCCCGAGGAGAATTGACGATAAGGTTTCGCTCATGGACCCATTTTGGCACATTTCGACTCACCATACAGCATTGAACATAAAATTATTGGCCACATCATCTAATCATATCGGATGCAATTCGTGGCAAATCTCGTCTTTGGGCTCCTAGAGATATTCCAACACAGAACATATACGTATCATACACGTATATAAGGCGTAATGCGATATATATGCGGCTGCCACTAGCTGCCTCCTGCAACACCTTCAGGATCCCAGCTCCTGAATCGGGTGAGCCACTTTTTGCACCGATGAGTTCTCCCGAGGAGAATTGACGATAAGGTCTCGTTCATGGACTCATTTTGGCACATACCAACTCACCATAAGGCATTGAACATCAAACTATTGGCCACATCAGCTATGGCATTTAATCATATCGGATACAATTCGTGGCAAATCTCGCTTTTGGGACCCTAGGGATAGTCCCATAGAGAACATACGTATCATACGCATCATATCCCAGCTCTTGAATCAGGTGATCCACTTTTCGCGCCTATGAATTCTCCCAAGGAGAATTAACAATAAGGCCTCGTTCATGGACCCATTTTGGCACATACCAATTCACCATAAAGCATTGAACATCAAATTATTGGCCACATCTGCTATGGCATCTAATCATATCGGATACAATTCGCGGCAAATCTCGCTTTTGGGCCCCTAGGGATATTCCCACAGAGAACATACGTATCATACGTATCATGTCCCAGCTCCTGAATCAGGTGATCCACATTTCGCGCCTATGAACTCTCCCAAGAAGAATGAACGATAATGTCTCGTTCATGGACCACTTCGCCACATACCGACTCACCATAGAGCATTATACGCTTGTATATAAACAGTCATGAATTCATGGGATTTCGTCAGTTTTACATAAATCTGTTTGTCATTACTTTACCGAAATGACTTATAGAACCCTTCAGTTCGTATAATTCTCAACGTAAACTGTAAAAGACTTGAACATAAATATAAATGTCGGTAACGGGACGCGCCAGCTTATGTTCCCACTTGCGGATTCAAAACGGCATTCCCACCAAAAAAGGTATAAATTAATTATGCTTTATCGACGTCAATTAAATTTCTTAGCGCCTTTCATATCCTCTTAATACCAGGAATAATAGTTATAAATTCGGTGCAAGGTGGCTCGTGTAAATGTAGGAACGTTCCTTGTCAGAGACTAGACTGAAGGGAAGAGACGTTGTCTTTCGCCCCTTTCGGCTCGCACCTGCGAGCACCAACTCCAGCTTCTTCCAGGTGAGACGGGGAAGCCGGTGCGGTCCAGCGCGAGCGCGGCCAACCTCATTGGTGCAGCTGCAGCTGCAGGTGCCCGCGGTTTCGAGGCCTCGGGGTGCTCGCCGAACCATGGAGAGACCCCCCGGAAGAGCCCCAGGATCCTGATCACCAGGACATACAGCGAGGAGAGCCAGGAAGGAGGGTCGCCCTTGCTGAAGAGGTCTTCCTTCGCCGCCCCTTGCGAAAGTACGTCCTCCCTCGCTTCCAAATCGCGGACTTTTCTTCGGGGCTGACATAGGGTTGCTCGATATACACGGAAAAAGAGATATTTACCCTTTCAGCGAAGGGCAGCGTTGCGGATAAAGTTTTGCTCCTACTGTATGTAGGTATCCCATGAAGTGGACTACGTCACGGTTTTCCTCCTGATGGTGGAAATTAGTTAATTTCGGATCCCATGAAGTGGACTACGTAACGCTTTTCCTCCTAATGGTGGAAATTAGTTCATTTCGGATCCCATGAAGTGGACTACGTAACGCTTCTCCTCCCGATGGTGGAAATTAGTTAATTTCGGGTCCCATGAAGTGGACTACGTAACGCTTTTCCTCCTAATGGTGGAAATTAGTTCATTTCGGATCCCATGAAGTGGACTACGTAACGCTTTTCCTCCTAATGGTGGAAATTAGTTCATTTCGGATCCCATGAAGTGGACTACGTAACGCTTCTCCTCCCGATGGTGGAAATTAGTTAATTTCGGGTTGGACTACGTAACGCTTTTCCTCCTAATGGTGGAAATTAGTTCATTTCGGATCCCATGAAGTGGACTACGTAACGCTTTTCCTTCCGATGGTGGAAATTAGTTAATTTCGGGTCCCATGAAGTGAACTACGTAAAGCTTTTCTTCCCGAGGGAAGAAAGAGCTCTCTTTATAGGAGCTGAAAGCGACTACTTCCCTTCCTCAGAGGGTGAAACGTGACGTAATTCTCTTCATGGGAGCCGAAAGTGACTACTTTCCTCCCTAGGGAGGTAAAGAGTTACGTAATTCACTTCATGGAAACCGAAAGTGACTGCTTTCCTTCCTCGGGGGGTGAAACGTAACATAGTCCACTTCATAGGAGCTGACAGCGACTACTTTCCTCCCTCGGGAGGTAACGTATAACGTTGCACGTAAAAGCCACTGAAAGTCGGACTTTCGGTAAAGGGAGGATAAAAAAGAAATAATTTGCTTAGCGTAATAAGCGGGAATTTGCCGTTTCCAAAGAGCGGAGGTGGCGACAGAGGAGTACCGGAAGCGGCAGCAGCACCGGCAGCAACGAGAGCTGCGTCTGGACGACCGGAGTCGCCCCGAGGCTCGCCAGGAACGGCGCCGGTAATTCTGAAGATTTCTGGACAATTGGTCGAACCCGAACTCGAGGGAACACTCTCGAAGAAGGTCTTTTTTCAGCGAGGCCCACCAATAACAGCGACAGCAGCGACACCACCGACACTACCGCCACCACCGCCTCGAATCTCCCTTCGAAGACGCTTTTCGGGGTAAGCTGAAATTTCCCACCGCTCGTATATTCTGGGACACGGGTGGTACAAGATGACGGTAACAGGGATTATTAACCCTTTCGTCACTTAGGACCCAATAACGACCACTTAAGGTGAAGCGAAACCACCCTTAACCCTTTGCACTCGAGGATTTTCCCATTCCAGTTGTCAGCGGCGACTGAGACTCGCCTCTCGAGTGTAAAGGATTAAATCGAAAGGGTTAAGTCGAATAAGACATTTTTCTTTAGGGGTATTGGATAGAATTGTCTGAAACATTGACACCATCCTTAAATCAGTCGGTTCGAATAAGATACTTTTCTTTAGTATTGGATAGAATTGTCTGAAACTTTGACACATGACTCGTGAGCTCGAAACCACTCTTAAATCAGTCGATTCGAATAAGACACTTTTTTTAAGGGTATTGGGTAGAATTGTCTGAAACTTTAACACATGACTCGTGAGCTGGAAACCACTCTTAAATCAGTCGATTCGAATAAGACACTTTTTTTAAGAGTATTGGGTAGAATTGTCTGAAACTTTAACACATGACTCGTGAGCTCGAAACCACCCTTAAATCAGTCGATTCGAATAAGACACTTTTTTTAAGGGTATTGGATAGAATTGTCTGAAACTTTGACACATGACTCGTGAGCTCGAAACCACCCTTAAATCAGTCGATTCGAATAAGACACTTTTTTTAAGAGTATTGGATAGAAAGTGTCCTGAAATATATGAGCGGTACTATGTATTTAATTTGTTCATGAATTCTTAGTTAGTAATTTTTCCACCTTTAGGAAGAACACAGAGAAGAGGAGGAGTCGAAGAGGACGCCGGGGGAAAGCGATAGCGAGGATAGTTGGGGAAGTGTGGAGAGCGAGGATGGGAGAGAAGCTGTCGAGAAACACGAAGAAACGCGGAATCGAAAAAATTGCCACGAAGAGGATGACAGGAGAAACAGGAGAGAAAGGCGAAAGGAAAGGTCTAGGGGAAAGTCCAACCCTGAAGAGTACGAACGGCGTTCGCAATTGAGACCTCTATTGACTTCCTCATCGTAAATTATAAATGATTACGAATTTTGCCACGAAGATAAACAAGATAGGATCAGAAGAGAAGAACGAAAGAGAAAATTCGGAAGAAGACGAACCCTGAAGAGTACGAACGGCATTCGCAACTGAGACCTCCATTGACTTCCTCATCGTAAATTATAAATGATTACGAATTTTGCCACGAAGATAAACAAGATAGGATCAAAAGAGAAGAATGAAAGGGAAAATTTGAAAGAATGTCCAACCCTGAAGAGTACGAACGGCATTTGCAATTGAGATTTCTATTGACTTCGCCATCGTAAATTATAAATCATTACGAATTTTGCCACGAAGATAAACAAGATAGAATCAGAAGAGAAGAGTGAGAGGGAAAATTCGGAAGAAAGTCCAACCTTGAAGAGTATGAACACCGCACGTGGTTGCAACTTCTGTTGACTTTCGCGTCTTAAATTCTAGATGATTAGAAATGTCGGTACGAAGAGGAACTAGAAAAGAAGGGAAAAATAAAAGTCCAACCCCGAAGAGAACGAACGGCGCATGCGATTGCTCTATTGATATTCCTCGTCGTAACTTCTACATGATTATGAATTTCGCCACGAATGGGAAGATTCTAGAAGTAGAAGAGAAGGACGGAAAGTCTCTGTTCACTTCCTGGTTCTACCTTTTAAATAATTTCGAATTTCCCCACGAAGGGGAAGACTGCAAAACTATAATAGAAGAGGAAGGCGAAAGGTCTCCATCCACTTTTTCGTCCTAAATTTGAAATACTTACGAATTTCCGTACAAAGAGAAATGCCCCAGAACAAGAAGGAAATCCCCACTAAGGATATGATAAACAACTATAAAAAGGGAGGAAATAGAACTATAAAGTAAGAGAGTACAATTATGAAATGACAAAGTGCAACTATACACCTGTAAGAAAGAAAGAGAGCAATTTGTAAAATTACTTTTTCTTTCTGTACTTGTATATCGTATCACCTATAGAGACTGGCGTCTATTTTACAATGTGGTAATGGTATAGTGGTAATGTATACCACTATTTTTCCTCAACATACCCCGGTTTTACAAATACCGGTGTTACAACTACGGATATTAACCATGTATACGCCGTTTTACTCAATTTTTACTGGTAAAAACAACGTAAAAAAGGGTTTTTTTACACGGCACTCGACACCAGCAATTAACATCGGTAATTATAAAACCCGTGTAAAAAAAAAAGAACGGGTAAATGCAGAAAATAAATTGACCTATCGTCAATTTTCCCTCACACTTCTCCAGATCTCCGGAATTAACCTTCTACCTCTTGCATTGAAAAATCCAAGAAATATTTAAATCAACGTAGAACAATAAGACTGCAGGTCGGACATTTACAATGACCCTAAAACAACAGATTACAAGCATGTAATATATAGAACCAAATCGGCGGGGTGGAATGAGGAAACCGGCGTGGGAATATTCGAACATAATTACCGACTTAATTACTTTCCGCTCCAATTAAAGCGCATCAATTTCGGGGGCTAAACTTATAATTAAAAGGGATACTTCGCTAAGGGGATGGGCGGCGCGATTTGCGAGCAATAATTAAGGAGAAGTCCTTTTCGTTATTTTTATATTAAGGTGTAGGGAGGGTCGTACTTCATTTAGACTGTAGATAGACCTGTAATTTCGACCTAATCATCGGTCGCTATCGGTAATTGCGGAAGTTACGTGTCGTTACGGAGGTGACGTAGGTCGTGTCGAAGTAGATATTCCCTGGTGATAAGACTTAACGGAATTATCAGACTCGTTGGGTAGAATCTGTGCCCCGAGGGAGATTATAAAGGGGGACAGACTGTATCGAATTTGACACTGTACTCGTGCATTAGCGGTAATTGATCTCGATGATAATCGGTACACGTAGAGTCGACACTCTTCACCCCATTTCCTCGGTGCATGTTGTATGTATAGTCTCCTAGTACACTGAGCGAAAAAAAAAAATCACTTTCTAGGGAAATTAAACTTCTCGTGGCGCGTAGATAGCTGGATATATATATATATATATAGCTGGAAGCTAAGAATGTTTACAGCAAAAGTACTTAATAAAATTAACATAATAAAAATACATTTTTTACTTCACGGCTATTATCGGACACTTCATTAGGTATTAAAAAACACGACAAATTTTTCTAATACTTTCGTTTCGCTATTTCATTATGGTAGCAAAACGTGTTATTTTGATTTTAAATATTTTTAAAACGTTTATAATGTATTCGGCAGATAATATGTAAAAGAAAAAATACTTGCATTAAAATGAAACGAAATGATTTGTATATCTGGTTGAGAAATATTATGAAAACACATGGAGGTAATAATATGTAANTGCGCCTCGATCGGCAGGTAAAAACCGGCAATTAGAATCGACAAAAACTACAGGTGGAGCATGCCATTTGGTACAATACCTAATATTATTCGACACAATTATGAAAACACATGGAGGTAATAATATGTAAATATAATAAATATAATAGGGATAATATTCTAAAGTAAACGTTTTGCAAATATTTCAAATGTCTGGTAGATAGTTACAAAATGTACGATATTCGTTAAATATATAGGAGATATAGGGCAAATATTTTGTGCTACTAGGGATGTGGTTAAATGTACGTAATTACTCTACTTGTAAATGGTCACGTAGACGCGAACTGGAAACGAATTATGAATAAGTAGCGAAATTATTAAACGTGCCCTGTCCCTCGTACATTTTGGGAGGTCCCTCTGATTGATAAAACTGCGATATCGCGTTTTGTTAATTATTCACGTAATTACCAGTTCATGCGGTGGGGTCATGGGTGTAAGATATATGGATCTGACTATGACAGCAGCGGAATCGGAAGAAAAAGAACAGGAGGGCTGTTTTATTAATAACTCGATCTCTTTTTACGTAAAACAAATTGCCAATCTATTAGGTTGACGGAAAAGTAATGATGCATTTTCGTAACAGATGGTATAGAAAAAATGCGTCATGACTTTTCCGACAAAGCAATAGCTACACTGTCTAATCTCTCTAGAAGAGATTAATTACTTGCGGTAATCATACAGTACATATACCGTAAAGATGAAGAAAAGCTGCCTTTCCAAGTCATCCTTTACACATGTCGAAGAGATATCTACAAGATGTCTAACGTTACACTATACTAAGTATAGCAGATTAAAAGATGTTTAATGTTACACTATACTAAGTATAGCAGATTAAAGATGTCTAACGTTACATTCTACTAAATATATTGCAGATTAAAAGATGTCTACCGTTACATTGTACTAGATATGACTGATTAGAAGATGCCTAACGTCACATTTTACTGAATATGGCAGATTAAAAGATGTTTAATGTTACATTTTACTAAATATGGCAGATTAATAGATGTCTAACGTTACATTTTACTAAATATATTGCAGATTAAAAGATGTCTAACGTTACATTCTACTAAATGTGGCATATTAAACGATGTGTAACGTTACATTTTACTAAGTACGGCAGATTAAAAGATGTCTAACGTTACATTTTATTAAATGTGGCAGATTAAAAGATGTGTAACGTTACATTTTACTAAATGTGGCATATTAAAAGATGTCTAACGTTACATTTTACTACATGTGGCAGATTAAAAGATGTGTAACGTTACATTTTACTAAATATATAGCAGATTAAAAGATGTCTAACGTTACATTTTAAAAAATATAGCAGATTAATAGATGTCTAACGTTACATTTTGCTAAATATGGCAGATTAAAAGATATTCAACGTTATATTTTGCAAAATATGGCAGATTAATAGATGTCTAACGTTACATTTTACTAAATATATAGCAGATTAAAAGATGTCTAACGTTACATTTTACAAAATATAGCAGATTAATAGATGTTTAACGTTACATTTTACTAAATGTGGCATATTAAACGATGTGTAACGTTACATTTTACTAAATATACCAGAGTAAAAGATGTCTATCGTTCAACGTGTTGCATGGAACATGGCCCTCGAGAAAAGAGTACGTCCCTGTCGACAGGTGCGCAAGCTCACATCGATTTCCTCCCTCGTCCGATCCGACGACATTTTCCTCGCAGAATCCATTCAGGAATCGTCGGCAAGGCCTAGCTTCCGGTTCGGCCAATTTCCCGCTTTTTGCCGCCGGCCGAGGGAATAAAGAGGTAAATCGCCGTGGGAAATATGGCAGAGCAGTGACGTAAGCTTGCCGTCGAACCAGTGGAATCCTTGGGCCGGCTGATGGGGACAAAAAGAAAACCTTCATTTCAGTGAATACCATCGATTCGGTTTCCTCGTACCGGAAGGTGAAAGAGGTAACAAGGAGCGGAAATGGAGCGGCGGTGCCCGAGGGTCTCGATAAGGCGAGGAAGAGTAAGATCGCCGATCAGCTGATCCGGTAAGACATCTCCGATGAAAGACTCAAAATGGACCAATGAAGAGACAAGACAGCCGGATTGATGATCCCTGAAAATGTGCGTATAGATACGTAGGATGGATAAAGTACTGCATCACTTAACAGCCTTAAGGTGATATGCAAGTGTGACATACACGTACCAAAAAGTGAAAATATTTATAAAACTTTTTTCCAAACTGGGTGCACCGAATTGTCTAAAACTTAACGCGTGATTATGGAGGCTCTAAGAAAGAACGCGTTGCCCGTGAAATTACATTTTTCGAAAAACAATCCCTTTTCTTTGGTTCTTGTCCGAAATAAATGCACAATTTTCTTCGAAAATTGACATTTCACGAGCAGCGCGTTCTTCCTTAGAGCCTCCATAATCACGCGTTAAAGTTTCAGATAATTCAGTGCACCCACTTTGAAGAAAAGTTTTATAAATATTTGGACATTTTGTTATGTATGTATCACACATTCATATCATCTTAAGGTGATATGAATCTCTTAATGAGCATGGATTACGTTATCTCGAACGAAATAATTATATTTGAATTTCCCTCCTTTTTGGTCCTCGACCTGCATCACGATTCACGTTGGTCTCGCCTTTTGAGCTGTCAATTATAATAAAATACTTTTGAGTTGTCAATTATAATAAAATACGAGCGGCTAGCAGTCCAGGTCCATATAGTCAAAGATTATACATAACAATGAGCTTAAAGCTCGACATACTTTTGTCTCCAAGGTCGGTTTCCTAGCAAGAGCGCATTGGCTGGTTCGCCGAAGCCATGAAGTAGTTGGTTAACGCCGTCTTGAGAAACATAACCTGAAAAGGAAGGCAAGTCGGTCAAGCTGCGATATTTCAGGTTCCGCCTCCGTGAAAGATACTTCAATGCAGCGATTCTGATCGTGGCGGGGGTCGTGTTGACGATCGTCTTGGTAAGCAGTCTCCGGAGGGCCGCCGGAAGCCATGAGGACGCCATTTTGGTCCCGCCGGACCCGCTCGATTTCCAGCCGCCATCTTGGAGCAGCTTGAGAACTTTCAAACGCGGAGCCGTCTGCGCCGATGGCGTCCCTTGCGCCTCGATCGGCAGGTAAAAACCGGCAATTAGAATCGACAAAAACTACAGGTGGAGCATGCCATTTGGTACAATACCTAATATTATTCGACACAGCTGTCAATATAAAAACGAACGTCGGAAACGTAGGCGTTTAGAAAAATCTTCTTTATCTACGCCTATCAAGTTCCTCGACGTGTTTGTACGTTGTCGACGTTGGTTTTTATATTGACAACTGTGTCGAATTATATTTTGTATTGCACCAAATGGCGTACTCCACCTGTCGTTTTCGTACAATAATTATAAAGAAATCGAAGTAAAACTCCAGAAACCCTCTGGATTCATGCTTTCTGGGGCCCTAATTGACTACAGAGGAACCCCCTGCGACATCTGTGATTTCCAGGTCAATTAAATTTTCACTCCGAGACCTCGCATTCCCATCGTTTTAGCATAGAAGCCCATAACACACTTTTTTTGCCTTTATCCCGTTCAAATGCGAGTTTATCGATTACCAGAGTGTTCTAAATTGTCGTAAAATTGTCCTGACCCTTTCGTTTCTCATATCAGAGCCTTCGATAATTGTATATTAATCGAAATATGAGAGCTCGACGCCATTTTGGTTCTGGTCTGGGCGAAGTTAAACAATTTTGTTGAAAAATCCAAACTTTGAATTGTCAGGACAATTCCTAGATGATCACGAGTCATGTGTCAAAGTTTTGAACAGTTTGGTATAATACCCTTTAAAAAAAAGTGTTGTATTGGAATCGACTGATTGGAGGGAGGTTTCACTTCATCTTAAGGCTCTTATTTTTTCTGCAGGTCTATGCTCGAGAGAAATGGATCGGCCATGGATGCTGCCTTGGCGGCTCTGATCTGCAATGGGATGGTGAATATGCAAAGCATGGGTCTAGGAGGTGGATTCCTGCTTACAGCTTACGAAAAAGCTTCGGAAAGAGCTTTTGTCCTTAATGCAAGAGATGCCGCTCCCCTGGCCGCTCATGTCCACATGTTCGACAACCTGCCCTCCCAGGCTTCTCGTGCAGGTGACTTTAATATCACCCTGAGCGAAAATATCACTTTTATGAACAAAAAATTACAATACCGAATAGACCTTTTTTGTCTACTATCAACAATTTAAGTTGGAAGGTCGATACAATGAAATTATGGCAACTTATAAACTTATATAAAATCAAAGCCATTGCTGTCTATCATATGAAATTAAAGCCATTGCTGTTTATTATATGAAATCAAAGCCATTTCTGTCTATTATATGAAATCAAAGCCATTGCTGTCTATCATATGAAATCAAAGCCATTGCTGTCTATCATATGAAATCAAAGTCATTGCTGTCTATCATATAAAATCAAAACCATTTCTGTCCATCATATGGAATCAAAGCCATTGCTGTCTATCATATGAAATCAAAGCCATTTCTGTCTCTCATATGAAATCAAAGCCATTTCTGTCCATCATATGGAATCAAAGCCATTTCTGTCCATCATATGGAATCAAAGCCATTCCTGTCTATTATATGAAATCAAAGCCATTTCTGTCTATCATATAAAATCAAAGCCATTTCTGTCTATTATATGAAATCAAAGTCATTGCTGTCTATCATATGAAATCAAAGTCATTGCTGTCTATCATATAAAATCAAAACCATTTCTGTCCATCATATGGAATCAAAGCCATTCCTGTCTATTACATGAAATCAAAGCCATTGCTGTCTATCATATAAAATCAAAACCATTTCTGTCCATCATATGGAATCAAAGCCATTCCTGTCTATTACATGAAATCAAAGCCATTGCTGTCTATCATATGAAATCAAAGCCATTGCTGTCTATCATATGAAATCAAGGCAATTGGGTTTCAAAGATGACAATCGTTATTCACTGATTTCCTAGTGAATAGCCTTTCGATATCAATTCGATACCACGGGTTTGGTAAAAAGGGAACGTCCGATTCCAGGTGGACTCGCCGTCGCCGTTCCTGGAGAACTCGCCGGCTACTGGGAAGCCCACGAGAGGTTCGGGAAGCTGCCCTGGGCAGATCTCTTCTGGCCCAGCATCGAGCTCTGCGAGAACGGGTACAACCTGACGAAACCACAGTATGGGGACCTGTTTTTCAACAAGGACAACATCTACGGAGATCCCGTCCTCAGGTGCACCATGTTAAAACGAATTACAGATTTAATGCACTATTAGGACATAAGGTTTATAGTGTATAGTATAGTCTAGTATAGTAAGGCTTATAATGCAGTTGTAAATTTGATCTCTTAAGGTGATGTGAAACTGGCGTCAAAGGTGTCTCGTCTATGAAACTTTTCTCCGAACTGGGTCTATCGAACCGTTTTAAACATTTCAGTGTAAACATGGAGGCTATAACCCACCAAACACCTTATGTTAAAGTTGCATAACACTGGAATGACATGATGTATAACGAATGTTATTCAAAAGATATATTAATGTCGAATCGTTTTAAACATTTCAATGTAAGATTGATTCCTCAGAGGCCACTTTCACATCCTCTTAAGGTGATGCGATAGGATGATTATATATATAAAATATCTAATGTACTACTTTCTCTTAGTACATTAGGAGTGAAATGTAGGGTCTATCAGAGAGTGGTGGTGCAGCCGAGACGAGTGATTTCGTTGATTGTTTCAGGGAGTGGTTCATCGATCCGGAGACGAGAACCTTCCGGAAACCTGGGTCCATAATACGTCCGAAGGAGCTTTGCAAGACCCTGAGGATAATAGCCGAAAGAGGTGCCTCGGAATTGTACAATGGCAGTCTGGGACGTTTTCTTGTAGAAGATGTACAGCGACGAGGTGGGGTTCTATCGATGCAGGACCTTCGTCAGTACAGGTGAATTTACCTTACAGTGATACTACAGTGGAGTCAGAGGTCTCGTTCATAAACCTTTGTCCAAACTGGGTGTATTGAATCGATTCAAATTTAACAACATAAATGTGCAGGCTATAAGAAAGGTCCTGAAACTCACGAAATTTGAGTTTCGTTTTAATTTGTATATAGGTATCTTTAAAATTGTGTATAAGAAATTATATTTCATGATTGTAATGTGATAGTGGCGTCAGAGGTCTCGTTCATAAACCTTTGTCCAAACTGGGTGTATTGAATCGATTCGATACACAGTAATATCAGGACAGTAATATAATGTAAGATAAGAGTAACAAAGTTACGCTACATTTATATAGATATGATAGTAACAAATGTTATGTAACCTGTTGGCTCCATGTTACATAACTGTTAAGTTACTGCATTGTAACAAACGTTATGTTACTTGTTACTTTTAAGTTACGTAACTGTTAAGTTTAGTGTTCAGTGGGTTATTCGCCTTGTGGAATACAAATTAGGATTTTTACAACGATTTCCTCACCTCTGACGTTAAAATTCACTATTCTGCATGTTGATAGGTACATGTATAAATGCCAGAAAATCTACAATTTTAGAGCCAAATGGGAAGAACCAGTCGCCACAAATTTCTCCGATGGCACGACGTTGTACTCTTCAGGATTGCCTGGAAGCGGAGCGGTCCTAGCCTTCATTCTTAATATCCTGGAGGGCTATCGATTCTCGGCAGCCAGTATCGCTAGCATGAACGAGACTGTGAAAACTTATCACAGGATTGCGGAAGCTTTCAAATTCGCGTACGCCATCAGGTCCGAAATGGGCGACCAGGACTTCGTCGACATGGAAGAAGTTAGTATTCTCGTCCATAACATATATGCTCATATTTCTACCGAGGACAGTATGGCACAGTTACATAACACTGGCATAACATGATATATAACGAAAGAGGATTTTCGTACAGAGACTCTGGAACGTACACATATCCCTACCAAGGACACTATATCCAATTTACATCACACTGAAATAACATAATATATAACAAAAGTTATTCGATAGATACATTGAAATGATATAATATCGAATTATTTCCGTCCCATAACATAGTGACAAATATATGAACATTGCAGTTATATAATATTAGCATAACACATAACATAGTACTACTGTTACGCGTACGTTGTATTATTTAGCACATAACAGTGTTATATAGCCACATAGAATATAGTAATGTAACTTTTACATATATTTAACGTCTATGTTACATTAGATGTTAGAAAGATATGCGTAACGTTTAAATTGTTACGTAACTGTCTGATGAGTTGTATATTGAAAATTGATACATCTCAACGAACTATTGTTACAGATAACAAGAAACCTGACGTCTAAGGACTACGCCAGGCTGGTGAGGGAAAAGATCGACGAGAACAGGACCTTCAACGACCCAGAGCATTATGGAGTTACCGCCGAAAGTCCTGAAGACCATGGAACTTCTCATATTTCCGTCCTGGCACCCAACGGAGACGCAGTATCCGTCACCAGCACGGTCAATTTGTAGTCAGTAACGTAGATTACGATTAACGTCGATTCAAACGCTCCGCCATTTTGAATATCCCGCCAAGACCGCTCTTCTTTATCCGCAGCTTCGGCAGCGGCGTCGTCAGCGAGAGGACGGGTATTTTGTTGAACAGCGGCATGGACGACTTCGGTTTACCTTCTCGGCACAGTTATTTTGGCTTACCGCCCAGCAGAAGCAATTTAATAGAGCCCGGGAAGAGGCCGCTTTCTTCCATGGCGCCCAGCGTCCTCGTGGACCAAAATGGCGGCGCCAAGATGGCGATCGGAGCCGCAGGCGGCACCAAGATCACCACGGCTCTCGCTTTCGTTAGTACAGTACGATTTCAGATACGATGGTCCCTCCGGCATTTGAAAAGTCAATCGTTCACGAAACTTTTCTCCGTACTGTGTCAATAGAGTCGTTTCAAACTTCATTTTTCGAAAAAAAGTGTTGCATTTATCTCGGACAAGAGCCGAAAAAGATATTCTTTTTTTTTTCGAAAAATGAAATTTCACGGTCAACGCGTTCTTCCTTAGAGCCTCCATAATCACGTGTTAAAGTTTAAGATAATTCGGTGCACCTAGTTTGGAGAAAAGTTTTATAAGTATTTTCACTTTTTGGTACATATATATCACACTTTCATATCACCTTAAGTACGTGATAGCGTTTCGTTTATCCTCAAACGCGCAAGACGTGTTTCGCTCGTCATTCGACCCTACTTTCTCTCGCAAATGTATTTGGCTCCAAACTCTACCAAGCTTTTTTACTCGACATTACTTTTTAGGTAATCGCCCGTTACTTGTGGATGAACAACTCTCTCAAGGAAGCGGTCGACGCGTCCAGAATCCACCATCAGCTCTTCCCGATGAAGCTACTATACGAATATGGCGTGCCGAATGCGATTATTGACGGTTTAAGAAAGCTGGATCATCACACCGAAAGATACAGAGATCGCGGTAGCATCGTCTGTGGCCTTCTTCGTGTCAACGGCACCGTCTTCGCCAACGCCGATTTCCGAAAAGGCGGCGACGTCTATGGAATCGACTAAACGGTCTTCCGAAGTCCTTATATTGTTAAGAATATCTGTTCGAAATACAGTATACACATAGTCAAAGTGTTTTCAAGTTTTTAACAATATTCCGAAATTTTCGTACACAACTCGAAGGACGTGTGCATCAAATTTCGAAATTTGCATATTAATCGCTTCGATTGCCTTTGTGAGAATTCATGGACAATTGTGGGCGAAAGTATGTATAAGGATGTATGTATGTACAGCTGTCGTATGACGTATATACGAAACTCGGGTATTTTTCGATACTGTTTTTCGATCATGTAAATATACGTAATTGTATGTACTTGGAGAGAAGCATGTTTTAATACATTTATTAATATTTAGGGTTGGGTATGTATAATACGTCAACGCGAGCGCGGAGTATACGACGTCCTATTTTTAAATATGAAATAATAAATCCAGTTAGAAATTTAATATTAATCAGTATTAAATCGAAAGGAATTTGAATGCAAACGCCAGATTAATTATTCCGCACAAAATGTGTACGTGTTTACACATGCGCTAAAAGCCTTTTATAACCTAACGTATACATATATCATGTCTCTGTGGCATTCGCCATATTGGAAATTTAATTTACTGATTTTCAACGATAAAATATTTCGTTTACGTAATATACGTACAGAACGTCGAAAAACGTGTAATTACCCAACCCTGGTTAAATAGCGATTACATTTTGTACCGGAATTACCTATGAGTGTAATACTATACTCTTACATCCAAGAAATTAACGAACCGATTTCATAACTCTAGTTAACCGGAGTTTAAGTAGTTTATAACAGGTTTAAACCGGAGTTTAAGTGTGTCATAGCAAATTTAAACCGAAGTTTATCTAGAATCTAGTTAACCGAAGTTTAACTGGTTTATATTCGATTTAAACCTGTTGTAAACCACTTAAAACTTCAATTAACTAGAATTATGGGCCGAGCCTTAATATCAGTTCTTATAAAATCGGTGTAAGGTAGTATATGACTACGTCTCTATCGTGCTCCTCAATCCGAAATTTATCTGGACCCAGTAAATTGCATGCCTTAATCGCATTAATAATTAATGCAAATCCGATCCAAGTGTCTCGAATGATACTTAATTCGGATTTACTGAGTTTGGACCCGATAAATCCTGAATTTCGAGTACGATGGAGACGTAGTCTGTGAAAACTTACGCACTACCTAATGATTGTTTCCATCGTACTCGAAATCCAGGATTTATCGGATCCAAACGTAGTAAATTCAAATTTAAGTGTTCATAGAGACTCTCAGAATCGAATTTACGTATTTATTAATACGATGGAGACCTGCGATTTAATGAATCCAGACCCGATAAATCTCGGATTTAAGAGTGCGATGGAGATGTAATTATTTAATACGATGTAGACTTCCAATTTACTGAATCCGGACCCGATAAATCCTGGATTTAGGAGTACGATGGAGACGTAATCAGCAAATTGAAATTTAAGCGTCAATCGAGACGCTCCGAATCGAATCTCTGTATTTATTAATACGATGGAAACATACGTTTTACTGAATCCGGGCCCGATAAATCCCGGATTTAAAAGCGCGATGGAGACGTGGTCAGTAAATTCGAATTTAAGTCCAGATCAAGACTCTGAGAATTGAATTTACGTATTTATTAATACGATGGAGACCTGCGATTTACTGAATCCGGGCACGATTAATCCCGGATTTAGGAGCGCGATGTAGATGTGGTCAATGTGAAGCGATTTCCTTCTCGGATACGGAGAGAGAGAGGATCATCTTTGTTACGTTGGCTAATCTGCTGGTTTTCACAATACTTTCAGGTCGTTCGGGCTCAAAGAACGTCTTTTGTACTTTACGTTCACCCCGAAATACGGAAGTACGTTGGCTCGTCCGCAGGTAGCCTCCTTGGGTTCACCCCGTCCTGTCAGACTCGGACATTTCGGCTGCCGATACCGAGCTGAGCTATGTCAACCGTGGACGAGGTCTTTGACAGTTGGGAGGACATCGAGGAATCTGGGGTAAGGGAACCCAAATGTTAACCTGCCGTTTCCACCTCTTCCAGACCCGTGGATTTCTGCGGAACTGGGAAACCAGCGCATAGATTGCATTCCCACGACGAGGCTGCTTCCACGAGGCGGTTCGTCGGACTGCTGGCCTTTTGTTTACGATCCCATCCTGCCGATGTGTTCCTGCCATGCATTCTAAATTTCCTGCCTTGAGATCGTTAACTCAACCGATTATTAAGTCAACGAAAGTGATGTTTGTATTTTTAGACGTTGCGGCGTTAAGAATAGTTTGTTCATTTTTAGTGACGGACCAATTGCTATTAATAGTCACTGATTTTTCTTAGTGTATTCTGACATGGTCCGTTTCTACTCTATCTTTACCGTATTTCTGTGGATTATGTACTGGTTCAGACTTTACGATAAAGTGCGGTTTCAGGTCCTGGATAAAAAGTTAAATAACCTCCAGTTGCACGCCTTGGAAGGACTGGAGGAAGTGAAGGCACCTAGGTATGGATTTTTCGAGGAAATCTTTTTATTCCCTTGTCGTCCAATTCTGGGAAGTTATGGCGAAGAATTTTGTTTATAGATCGTTCAGAACTTTTGGGGGAATTATCGTAACGTCGATGCAATTGCGTAACTAATAGTTATTGTAATATAGTCGCGTTGACGATGACTCTTGTGCTTAGGTTGTCGACGAATCATAATCCCGAGACGAGGATGATTATTCTGGGAGAAGATGCCGTCCGGTCCCAGTACGTACCACCAAAGCCAACCGTTAAAATCCTAAAGAGACCGACAAGAGATTCTCAAGGTAGTGGCGACGGTCCTTTAATGAACGGAGATAGTAAACCTAAGCAACCGATAAAGTCTCTGAAGCAGGTAAGCAAACCACATTTTTCTTGACAAATAATAAATGGTACTTAAGAGATACACAATACTCCCCAGTAATGCGACGAGTCGAATAGTTTATCGTCTTCAGATAATTGAATTCAAAAACGTTGTCAACTCAAATGTGAACTCGATTTAACAGCTCGGCTAAGAAAAGAAGGAACGCATCTGTATAAACAACAAGGTCGTCAGCAGTGACAGTTTCACTTTCTACCGAAATAATAGTACAAATACTATAATAATAGTACACATATTGCAGTAATATTTCAGTATAAAGTGAAACTGACCGCTTACAAGTTTGTTATCGCCTGTGTAGATTTTCCTTTTCATAACATTGTTTAGCCAGTTACACGGTGGAAGAAAATCAATCGAGTTGTTCATTGCTCGCAGAGAGAACAGGAGTACGCAGAGGCAAGGAAAAGAATCCTAGGAGAAGAGAGGAGTCCGGAGGAGAGGCCGGTCCAGGAGGTGAGCAAGGTGCAATCGAAGGCAGCAGTTTCCGGAAGCAGTAGTAGTAGTAGTCTGCCTATCAACGTAGTTCGCATGCCCATCGGACCGGACGGTACCCGAGGATTCAACGTACGTAGGTAGCGCGCCAGTCAGGGACTTTCCCTCATTACCCATCTTTTACCTCTCCTCCTTGCTTCCTGTTACGGAGAGGAGGAGAGGCGGCTATGAGGCCGACGGGAGTGACGAGCTTTGCGCTACTTAACAACCGGGAACTGTCTCCAACTGGCACTGCGCCCCGAGAGAAGGAAGGCTCGATCCATCGAGAATATTCGAGGCCGAGAACTAAGGCGCTTCCAGCATCCAATCGACTGGATTCGCGTAAAGGTACCATTTCATTAGCGTCTACTTGACGCTGGAAACGAGTGTTACGTGACCATCATCTCGCTGACGCCTCATGAAAAGGGATCGTAGTGTCAATATCGATCTGATGCTTGATGTTCGTTTAAATGATCATTGGAAAGTCTGGTAGCAAATATCACTAGAAGTTAATACGTTTTAACGTCTGGTTGACGCAAATTAATTAGCAGTCTTAAAGGTACCATTCCATTAGCATGTACTTGACGCTGGAAACGAGTGTTGCGTAATCACCATCTCGCTGACGTCCCATGAAATAGCTCTGTAGCGTCGATACCGGCGTGATGCTTGATGTTCGTTTAAATGAACATCAAAAAGTCTGGCAGCGAAAAGAGGTTATGTTGATACCAGTCTGTCACGCGATGTTCGTTGAAACGAACTTTTAAATTTCGGACGCTAAAAAGTCTTACAGTAAATGTTACTTTCTAGTTATCACGTTCAAGTGTCCGTTTGACGCAAATGAATTGGCACCTTGAAAGAATCAACGCGTACATGGATAATGGCTTACCATTGGTTGCGACGGTGCACTCTAAATGTGGTTTATCATGGATAACGCTGCCACGTCGACGGAAGATCCTGTTTTCTTCTGTTAATTAAAATCTTGCGAATATTTGAAATCCCGGTATTAATTATAGTGCCACCGTAACCTTACTTTTTCCTGTTAAATTCCTTCACTAACGAATGGACCGTCACTCGAACTTTCAGAACTTAATTAAGATTGAGATTATCCGATAAGGGCTTCGACAGAACTGTTTATAAATCCACTCGACTGTAAATAACTCCGAACTTCATTTAATTGTACCTAATTCGGACTATGAGATTACAAAATATCGTCATGGTTCTCTGTGGACATGTATGTAAATACAAATATAGATCTTTAAGATAGCGTGGTAAATAAAAGTCTTTCCGAAAGGACCCGACGAATAAAAGAGGAACGAACAAATTCAGGACGAGTCTTGCGTAATAGATTCCGTGATCTCTTCGCAATCCTCTTTGGTACCTTTGCTTTCTGCCGATAATTGAATCTCTTTCCACAAGAGATTGGTTGTTTTCCATTTGTCTTCATTATTGTTAAAACAAAACCCCTTTATGTAGTCCTGCTTGTTCGTTACATCTGTATGTGTTATGTGAAGGAGAATAGTGCATAAGGAATATATTGACGTCCATCATCTAGCCATTATTTCCCACTATTGATAATGTAAGCTGTACCAAGGTTATTAAGATGGTGTGAATTACGATGGTATGACTGTTTAAATTCTAATGGACCAACGTCACCATTTGTAACATTTAGTTGCAACTAAATTTTTGCTCTAAAAACATATTAACCACGGGGCAAGCCAGCATTCTCTTACAATCGGTGAAAGCTTGTTTATAAATATACAATATACATCAATTTTTATACATTAAAATGATTATAAATTGTAAATTTATAAACAATTTCCTTGGTTAGGAAGGAATTGCACAATGAATTGGCACAGCAAATATTGCCAGAAAAACCAAATAAGGCCTTAAAAATATCGACACACGAATATAGGATTTCAAAATTATCGAGCACTATAAACAGTTAATAGAAAAAAGGATACAGCCTTTAATGTGGTCCTTAAGAGCTGGAAAATTCCATCTTATGCCAGTAAATGTTTTGTACAATTGAAATTTCTTTCTGGAAAAGTTCAAAGCACAGAGCACAAACTTTTAAAGAAGGATCTATTTCTGTACGTTAGTTATACATTAGTTATACGCACTGTGCAATATCTAATATGTGTTGGTCCTTAAGACTCAGCTTCCACGATTTAAGCTTATTTCGATTTGTTTCCAATTGCAGTTTCTCCTCCTTGATCGCATCCCTTTGTGCCTCTAAGGCTTTCTGTTATAATCGATTAAACGTTTATTTTAAAAGGAAGAGCTGGTGATTTTACCATATTATGACAAACACTTACTGTTTCGCTTTCATAATTTGATAGTTTTAACGTCCTAGTCTCCAGTACCACAGACTCTGTATCTAGCAAATTTCTCAAAGTGCTTACTCTTGTTTCCAACTCGTTAATAGTTTTCAGGTTCTCTGTAGATGGACCGATCCAAGATATCCCATACGCAACAAAAGAAAGTATTATTTCTACCCCTTAATACTTGTATATTTCATTTGCATTGAAAATATCCCTACTACTACAGGAAGAAAAGCTTACCGGCATACTTCTGCTCATGGGTCTTGGTTTTTAGATAAATCTTCCTGGCAGCTTCGATCGAAATATCACTGACCTTCGAAGCATTTAATGAAGCGTACGGATTCCTAGGTACAATCATATCCCCCATATTTCACTGTTATTAGTAAATAACTAAGTAATAAATAAACTGAATATCATGTAAACAATGATAGGACGCGAGTACCCAGCAACCAGCGTCGTTACATTTGAACTGATTTAAACGTGTAATTGCATCGTTCCACAGGTGGCGGTCGACATATAAACAGGTCTGCCAACTCCGAAAAATATTTATACCAGGAGGGGCGATCCCTTTTCATATCATTTTCCTTTTTTTAAACCATTACCATCCGACGCTACGAAAATGGTAAGGTTCTGTCAAACATAACCCCAAATAATAATATTATTTCTTAATCTTTCTACTTAATCCAGAGATGAGTTGGGAGATTGCTCACGGGCAGGGTAGCGCGATCGCACCATGTGCTGCCCTCTGATTTCGTACGTTAGCTTTCACAGTTTTTTGCCCCCAAGGGCGGCGCAACGAATTTCTGGTAGGGGCTAGCGAAATCGCGATGGCTGTGCCATCTACCAGTTGCCGTTGGCGGCTCACGCATTCGTGATGGTAATACCATGCGGCAGTTGACGGTGGTGGCTTACCATTATGGCAATCTCCTAACTCATCTCTGCCAAATCAGAGATGAGTTGA